AGAAACTTTATCGTCATGGACTAGGCGTTTTATATATAAGTAGGACAAGGAGTATCGGTGTTGATTATAAGTAAAGACTGAGGATTTGTGTGTTTTGAAACCAATATTGGTACCTCCTTGTTGTTGTTGTTGAGGTTTCATAAAAACAGAGACAAAGTGTAAATAGATGCAGATAGACAGGTGTGCAGACATTTTATAAACAACTAGAGATACACATATAGCCACAAATAGACATTTATACGTAACAGTTATTTATAATTTATAACAAAATACAAAGAGATGTATATAGAGACAGACATTAACACAACATATATTGACACTTTATAATGGCTATAGACAAACAACAATATGTTTTTTTTTTCCATTTTATATTTTTTAAATTTATGAAATCAAAGTTGGTTTATACATCTTCTCTTCATAAGTGGCCAGGGACTATTAGCAGCTTCATCTAGATAGACAACAGGTCGGTTGCTCTCGTTAGTTGCAAAGGGTTGGGTAAATACATTGTCTGGGTTGTTGGTGTTCTCTTTAACATCAGAATATGGTTCTGTAGTTGTATTTGTCGGTTGGTAACAAGGACTGGTGAGCAGCTCCAATCAATTAAACTCTGTTAGGTCAATCAACTGTTCAAATTCTAGGCGATTTAGTGTTAGTCCCGTTCTCGTAGGAAACTTGAGATTTGATTCACAAAAGAAACGTCTCAAATGGAGTGTTGGTGTCCCAGTATAGGCCGAGACCGAAACAACTTTTTGACCAGCACACAACGGTTTCAACAACTCATCGCTTCCAGTCATGTACAACCAATTGGCCGGGGCTGTAGACATCTTCAGTGTGTGTATGGTGTTGGCAATAAGAAGTTGGTCAACACTCGAATTGTTTATATACCAACTGTGAGCTTGTAGTACCGGTTTAAACTCGACATAGCCGGATTGGCTTTGCTGAATAAGGGTGAAACGAGGCGCCAAACGATTCGATCGTTGACGTGTTGGCTATAGGAAAATGGCAGTAAAACTTGGCGCATATGACCACCGAGGCATTTAATCAGTATAAAATAAATAACGTACAACCCACAAGTACTGCTCTGCAATTCTTGTACGGCACGTGTGTTGTAAATGTGGGGTCTGGTCGAGTGGAGTTCGACAAAACGTATAATGTCGGAATGAAAGGGTGGGAGTCCCAAGGAATCAACATAGGTAAAACTCCTGATCCCATTGTAGTACAGACTGACCCAGTGCGAACCCGGCTGGTCGCTAGAGTCTGTGTTGATGACAAAAACTGCGGTCTGGTGGTGGTCGAAGTGTGAAGGTAATTGATCACGGGCTAATACTTGTATGAGATGTGCTCGGTGGACAACGTGGTCAGCTAAGAGTATTTGGCGTATCTGTTGTGTGTTCATGATCTAGGCGTAGTCCAGTAGTACTTGCCGTGCCTTGGAAATTTCGAGTACAGAGTCTTGCTCAGCGTGGACAAATAACTTGTAAGGGTTCGAGTGTGAAGGTGGCAAACTTAAATTCCAAAGACAACGCCTCTGAGCGGGGCATTTCAAATTGGTTCATATCCAACAGGCTAGGTGATAGGTCAAATGCATAGAGAGCGTAGCCCTTCTTAAAATGTTTGTATTCAATGTCATTACCGGCATGTTTACTCACCAGTCCCATAGTCAACATAGTTCAAAAAAAAAAAAAAAAGCTTTCACAAGTGATTATTTTTATAGTCTCGTGTTAACGGTTTACTGGGTACGCTATGACCATCTGCACTTACATTTGGATTCGTCAACCCACAGTGTTGGAAATTAAAGGGGTTAGTCTTGTAGGAGCCGTTATAGGCTACAGAGTTAATTAGTCCGATCACTAGTCTGGTGGCGTCTGACTCAGAAATAGATTGTCTTGAGTGTGAGACAACATGCCTTTGGGTATAGAAATTGTTTTCAGATTCACGCGTTTCAAAAGATATTTAGCATTAGTCTTGGTTAAGGCTTTCTCGTGGGCCAGAGATATAGCCAGATTCAATTTAGCTTTTCGAACCATCAGGGTAGCGTTTGTTATAATGGACTTCTAACCAACATCGGCTTTGTGAGCTATAAGATTAAAGACGTCTTTAGAAGGTGTAAGCTTGATCTTTACAGCCACATCGTTTAGCAAGTAGCGGTTTTGAGCACAAATGTCTAGCGTGTAGGAGGTATGGTTGAAACAACTGGTACTTTAGTTTGAAAGCGTCAAGTATTATAACTGGATATTAATATGAATTTTTAGTGCTCTATATGTTCACTGAGTTACTGTGGTGTAGCAGCTAGATGCTTGCCTGCGTATCAGAAGATTGTGGGCTAGAATACGAACATAGTTGGACTTGAACAAAAACAAGTTTACCTTGGCTGCCATTTCCCAGGTTGACCCAGCCTTAAATGGGTTCCAGGTAAAGTTCCTGGGAAGTACAGGTAGATGGTGTCATGTTGACCACATCACCCACTGAGTGCCGCTTGACCTCAATATAAGATAACTTAAGTGTTCTGGTGATGTTACTGACAGCAAGCGTGGGAGGCCCATGTTCAATCCTTAGTAGCGGATAGAGATTTTTTTTAATGTGGGGGGGGGGGGGGGGAGGGGGAGAACGACATGCTTGGCTGTGCTGATCTTGACTCCCAATTCTCGTATACTTCTGTGGGGTGTTCAGTCCTTTATCAGCATGCTGCAAACACGTGACCACAACTTGGGACCCATCTTCCATACTCTGACTGTGCTTGTTATAGATAGCATTGGAACTTTATTCAAAACTTTTTCTTGAATGATCTAGAGCAGACCAAAAGAGCTGCCTGTCAAAGTTTGCAGTTGTAAAAAATACAACAGCAGACGAAATTAAGACAGAATACCCAAAAAAAATATATTTATCAGACTGAAACAGTTATTTGTAAAAGTAACACATTTCAGAAAAAAATTTCGTCAAAGTTTTGAATGGAAATAGATTTAATCTGTTACTGAAATTTCTTCAGTTTTTAAACAATAATAATTTGTCGCTTTGGGACAGTTAAAAAAAAAGCATTAACCTACTAAGGAAGTAGCTGGATAAACCTATATATTACTTACTTAATGGTTAAACAAATATACTGATGTTTGTGATAGGTCGATGATGGTAATATGTCAAGATGTAGAAGATGATTCTAGCACTGTTTCAACTGTATCTATGATTACACCATGTGGGTTCTAGGGCCCCTTTGTGGGCAAACAGGAACAGACCCCCTGCCTCCCCAACAAGCATGTCATAGGAGGTGACTAACTGGGGGCTTCCTTTGAAGTCACAGTACATCAGCCTGAGAGGCAAGGAACCAAAAGTCTGTATACAAATCTGTGAAATGGATCTCCATGCAATACTTAGGTTCTGGAACAAGACTAAAGTCCAGAGGTGGACGAGCACCCAGAACTTTCTGCCAGAGATTACAGCCGATAAATTGGAAGAAGAAATATCTACTGATTTATATTAAACTGGATACAGAGGTCTGATCTGGCAGATAAACACAGTTCAGTTTGTGTCTATGGTTAATGAAAGGAGAATATTATATAGAACTGTAAGAAACAGACAGTTTTCTTTTGTCTGTGAAGAGAAAGCAGCAACCCCAGCTGCCAACACAGGCACCGTATATGAGAATGTTTGATAGGAGAAAAAGAAGGTATTCAAGAAACATACTGATGACATTAAGCCTTTTGCCCTTTTTAAACCTTTTTGAATGCTAAAAACCAGGTGGGTCATGAACCCATTTGAATTTATGGAAAAAATCCTTTAAAAAAAAAAAAACAGATTACACAGGTCAATAATAAATTTTTAATTTTTTTATCAACATTTATAATTCTTTTTCCAAATACATAAACATTTATGATATGGTAATCAGCAAACACAGAGTAAAGCATTAAATAGAAAATATTCACCGGGGCGTAAACAACCCAGTGTAACTGGTGACTCCTGCATGACCTTTATCACTGAGGCTTATGGGCACCATTTAGATCAACATAGCTTTCAAAAAAGCACTTGGGAACCCACCTCCCCCCACTCCAAATGCTATTTTTACTTACTATATTCATATCCTGGCCTATTAAACACTAGGCTCACACAGGACTAATGGTACTTAACCTATTTAGCCTCTTTGAGAATGTGGCCATATGTCAGCATTTATGAGAGTGTGTCACAACTGTAAGTGAGTAGATTTAGCCTTTTCATTGAGATGGGATTAAAGACTTTGTACATTTATATGGACTGACAATAGCTTGTACTATACCCCCCATTTAGCGCTGAACAAACAACTTTATCTCATAAATATGGTGATAAAAATATAAGATCATGATAATGACAAGAGAGCTATTATCAATTATATTATCAAAGCTATTACCCAGAACACTGTCTGTGGACAAACATGAATGCCTTTATCATCCAGCCAGACACATGATGGTGATGATCTGAAGTTTAAATTGGGTGAAGGAAACTGAAGGACTAAAACATGACATCACTTGAAGCAATAAGATGAGCAGCATTTGAAATATGCAAAAAAATGCATCCAACAAGTGAACACACATGAGACAAATCACCGGGCAGATATGACCAGTATTACAGACCAAACAGAGAAACACAGAAAGGACAAAGAGTATTATTCCCCCCCCCCCCCCCCCAAAGAGAAATTTCAGGGGCAGTTCTCTTCTATATCACTAGTTGGTAGAATACAACTTAACTTTACATCAGTTTTACAAAAAAGGTACGATCATGAAACATATCACCTCCAAACAGTGCTCCTTTAGAAGGCACTATTACTTAGATAAAAGAAGATCATAATTTGAAATCAATGAACATCACAAAATAGGAGACACACACCACAGCTTATTCTAGAAATCTCTTTCTTAGCGAGTGCAGAAATGCAAAACAGGAAATGTGAAGAAATATTCAAAGTGAGATTCACACAAAATTTCCTAGGTCATAAAATAATTTTTTTTTAAACAACTGTAACATAGTCAAGCACTTTGCTAATCCAATTCTCCTTTTACAAGGCTGGACTCTTTGGCCATGCTGTAGAAAACCCCAGTCTTGTCTGCTAGCAACTTTTCAGGTGTGTCAAATTCTATAATTTCTCCATTAGATAGAACTAGAATTCTGTAACACACAAAAAAAAACGTGTGTTAATGCTTTAATCATTGACTATAACTAAATAAAATTATTGTCACAGGCAGCTTCTTTGAAATGATCACGCCAGTGTGTTGGGAAATGAGCAGGCAGATAGACTGGCTGGCTCTGCACCACTTGGTGGTGAACTGATGTATGACAAGTTGGATATTGTGAGGGCCATTTGGGAATGGGTGAACAGTGCAGAGGTGCAGATAGATCATTACGGTCTAAGGAGAATGGCGCTGCGAGGAGTTACCAGGGAATCTGGCCGACGTTCAACACTTAGGGAAAAGATAAGACGGATATACAATCAGACAGTTACTGGTACCATCAGAATTGGAACTCTTCGCTTGCTGCTGAAGGTGGGGACTGAGCACTTACGGGAGTGTCCCGAGTTCTGTGATGTTGATTCTTAATTCAACATTCTTCTAAATGATTTTGAATATGTAGGAGGGATGGTAGAAACGTCTGGTAGTTTAGTTTGAAGGCGTCAAGTACTTGTACTTTAGTTTGAAGGCGTCAAGTACTGTAACCGGACTTTAATGTGAATTTTTAGTGCTCTAAGTGTTCACTGAGTTACTGTGGTGTAGCAACTAGATGCTTGCCTGCGTATCAAAAGGTCGTGGGTTAAAATATGAACATAGTTGGACTTAAACCAAAAAAAATTTACCTCGGCTGCCATTTCCCAGGCTGACCCAGCCTTAAATGGGTTCCAGGTAAAGTTCCTGGGAAGTAAAGGTAGATAGTGTGATGTTGACCACATCATACACTTAGTGCTGCTTGATCTACAAAATATAAGTGTAGCCCTGTGTGCCCGGTATGCCTCAATATAAGATAACTTAAGTGTTCTGGTGACGTTACTGATAGGAAGTGTGGAAGGCCCATGTTCAATCCTTAGTAGTGAACAGGGATTTTAAAAAAAAAAAAGATTTAAAAATGGGGGATGGGGGGGGGGGGGGGTGAGAGGGGGTACACAAATTCTAGCCTGCAAAGTTCGTGGCGACTCCCCAAGTCATGGGGAGCCTAAATGCTCAGGCTCATGACTCCCTGTCCTGCACTGCCATAAAAGTGGACAACATTAGCTATATATATATATATAAATATATATCCCCCCCCCCCCCAAGTTATGGACCAAAAATGGACCAAGAACTTACAACCTCCAAGACAGTATAATGCGACAAGACAAAGAGAAAATGCTAAGTGGATTGACAGCAGAAACAATTCAGCAGTAAATCATGAATAGAAAAGAAGTACTTTTATTATCCAACATGGCATATTGTGCTAATTTGCTCTTATTGCTATAGGAAGAAATCATGCCTAAAATATTTCAGCCAGCACTCACCTGTCGTAATCAATGACAGTTTTTAGTCGGTGAGCCACTGTGAGAACAGTGCAATCTTTGAAAGCCTCCCTGATTGTATTCTGAAGCAGGAAGTCTGTCTCCAGGTCTACAGCTGCTGTTGCTTCATCTAGTATGAGGATCTTTGTCTTTCTGAGCAGGCTGCGGGCTAAACACATCAACTGTCTTTGGCCAACACTATCAAAGACAGATTGGTATACATTAATACAAGATGCCAATAATATATAGGTAATTTTAATTAAATTTAGAATTCATTTTTGATAAAATCAACAATTCTAAATAGACAACAGTAATTGTGAAAAACCCATATAAAATGTTGGACTAAATATTAACAGTGGAAACATCCTTATAAAATAGTGCACTAAGTGTTCTAAGTGTTCATTGCAGAAACATACTTATACAATAGTGCACTAAACGTTAATTGTAAAAATTAAAAATCTCTCATAAAATGGTGTCTAAAAAGTTAAGAAAAAAACCCTAATAAAACTGAATGTTAATTTTGAAAATTATTTTAAAAAGTGCTCAAAATATTAATTGTGAAACAAATCCTTATAAAAAGATGCACTAAATGCTAATTATGATAGACCCTAATAAAAAAGATGCACTAAATGTTCACTGTAAAAAAAAAATTATTAAATAATGCACTTAATATTAATTTTGGAAAACCTATTAAAAATAGTGCCCTAAACCATCACTGTGAGAGCACCCTTATAAAATAGTGCATTAATTATTAACTGTACAAACCACTACAAAACTATGGCACACCCATTTAACCATCAACAAAACCTCTCTTAATGGTTATGATATGGAAGTAAATCAAGGGTATTGGTTTTACAAATATAAATAAAACCTACAAATGTGCTGATAATTATTGTAATGATTCTTCTTCTTCTTCTTCACTTCCTCTTTTACAGCTGTGGGTGTTGAGGGAGATATAAGGTTCTGTTTCTGGCTCTTCTGGCCGCCTCGACCATAGGCACATTGTGCTGTTGTAGAGCTTCTCTGATGTTATCCTTCCATATTGTTCTTGGTCTACCTCTTGCTCTACGACCTTTTTCTCTTTCCATGTATGCTTTGTATGGTATGGTGTCACAAGGCATTCTCTCTAAGTGGGCAAACCATTTCACTTGCTGTCTTTGTATAAACTTTTGCACACTTCGATGAGGTGTTCGCTTACTCCATATCTTGCCATTACTTTCCATAATAATTGTCTGTCGACTCTGTCAAATGCCTTCTCCTGGTCTACGAAGGCCACAAATAAGTTCTTATTGTATTCAATGTTTTTTTCTATTAACTGTTTAAGTGTGAAGATTGCATCTGTGCAGCTTCTATTTCTCCTAAATCCCATCTGTTCTTCTGCCAGCTGTGGTTCTATTACTGGTCTCAGTCTTGTTTCTATTATCTTGGCATACATTTTGCCAACATGGCTTAAAAAGAGAGATGCCTCGGTATTGACCATATTCTCGTTTGCTTCCTTTGTTCTTCCACAATGGTATAACTATTGCATGTTGCCAATCAATAGGGGCAGTTTGTTGTACCCATGCTGCATTAAATATTCATTGTAATGATTAAGCCACACAAATAAATGAATAAACAAACAGTACTGGAACGGTCAACATCAAACTGAGATAACAATACTGGATTTACAAAAAATGTAAACCACCTCAAAATGGAGGCTGGCTGCAATGGCTATTGAGCATCTACTACTGTCTGGGAAAATTATGGCCATAATCTCTTCTATGGTGTGACTCTCATACAATTGTCAGAAAGCCTTGAGAATGGCCTTTTTTCCTTGTAAATCACCCACCATGGAAATTAACCCTGTACACTGAGGGTTGTGAAATATATTCCTTAACTTTTAACCTACAGAGACATGCAACAATAATATATAGCCTCACATGTTATATTATCAAAATAACAGACCTGAGATTCTGGCCTCCCTCCTCACACAAATAGTCCAGTTGTCCAGACATCTCTCTCACAAAATCACTGAGATGTGCATTTTTTAATGCCATCCATAAAGCCTCGTCTGAGTGGATTTCAAAAGGATCCAGGTTGAATCTCACTGAGCCAGAAAATAAGACAGGGTCCTGGAAAAACCGTATTCAAACAAGCAGATTTATTCAATCACACATTAAAATGTTGATAGGAAAACAGTACACATAAGCTACACACTTCAATCAGCCAAAATGATTTAATCCAGATTTAAATGTTACAAAAAAAACATACGCAAGAGCTACGAACTTCGATCAGTCAGAATTATTGAATCACAAATTTAAATGTTGCTAGTAAAACAGTACACATAAGCTAAAAACTTCTAAAAGGCAGTAATATTCAATCACAGATTAAAATGTTGCTAGCAAAACTGTACACATAAGCTAAAAACTTTAAACAGGCAGAATTATTAAATCACAGATTAAAATGTTGCTAGCAAGACAGTACACACAAGCTACAAACTTCAAACAGAAGCCTAAAATGAAAGATAATAGTTCCAGGAAGAAGTAGGGGTCAACCAACACGACTGCAGAAGCCTGGCAAGAAACCATGTGGTTTTGCAGCATGCTACAATGAGAGCAATATTCTGCAAAGGACCTGCTTCATGACGATGATGCCTGTAAGGTCGTCACACAGAAAATGCTGCAGTGAAACGGGTTGTAGAAGTCAAGTAGCTTATCCTAAAAGGCATGTCAGCTAAATACTGTCTTTATTTTTCCTGATAGTTGTATAACCAGATACTGTGTTTGTCTTTTTTTATATAGTTACATACACAACAGGCTTCATAGCCAAATTCATCAATCAATTTCAAGGTTTTTCAAGGTCTGCTTAGTTTTTTTCAAGGTTGTCTCGGTGTAATACTGAAACAAGATTTTTGCCTTGTTCAAGGGTGTAACGAGCACACAAGGTACTTCATTTGTGCCATATGTGTGGGTATACCAGCGCAGATATCATCATCATCATCAAGTAGCAGGTCCTTTGCAGAACGTCGCTCTTATCACAGTCTGCCTGAAAGAAACTCAGTCTCTCGCCAGCTCTCCCGCCTCATGTACTTTTATGCTCAAGAAGTCACTTTTATTCTGTGCCCACCTTTCATGTTGGTCGGCCCCTACCCCTCCTTCCTGGTACAATGCCTTCTGCTATTATTTTTTTCCAATCTGTTGGAGCTTGATATAGTGTTTTAAATTTTTTTTAAAGACTTGGTGGTAGAGGGGAGCAAACTGAAGTCCTGTCTGTTCTGGACCTGGTACCTGAAAGGGGAAAAAGGGGGGGGGGGGGGGGTGGGGGGGTCACGCAGAGAGGGAGGAAGACATATGCTGATGTAGACTGGTAGAGACAGTGTAAAGATGGACAGATAAAGGTAGAAGAAAAAAGGGAAAGAGAGACTGGGGAAGGAGGAAAAAGGTGAGAGTGAGAGAGAGGGATGGAGACATGATGTGTCATCACTGTGGGAGGGGGTGATGGCAAATGCGTTTTTAAAAGTACACATATATTTAATTTGCATGTGGGGGGGGTGGATATGAAATGTTCTGGACTGGGCAACACATAACCTTCTACACCAATTGAAGGTATGAAGAAAGAGAGAGAGAGAGAGAGATGGAGAGAGAGGGGGACGTGAGAGAGAGTGGCAAATACAAAGAGAGAGGAAGGCAGTGACAGACAGGCAGAGAGTGAGGAACAGATAGGACAAAATGTGAGGGGGCAGGTAGGGAGATGGACAGAGATTAAGGCCTGTTACATGAAAAGACAAAACTGACATCAAAAGAAAATATCTACCAGGTTCATGCTGAAACACCGCCCCCCCCCCCCCTCCTCCACCATAACACAACTTCATGTGTACTTGACAGTTACTAGGAAAAGAGTTATGGATACTAAACATTTAAACAAGAAATACAATTAGAAAGGAGGATGGGAGTCAAGAAATGAGAGAGTAAAAGGAAAGATAGAGAGAAAAAGAAGAAGATAAAGATCAGAGGAGAGGGGGAGAGAGAGAGAGACAATGCAGGAGACGGGAAGGAGGGAGCAAGAGGGAGAAAGGGGTGAGAGAACAGAAGAGAGAAACTATGGGGAAATTACAATGTTGATCGCCACACTGTTGGGCCAAAAATAGAACTGGGAAATCCAGCTGACATCACTTTGCTAAGCTCCACTATTTTCCAATGTAATCATTGTTTCTAGAAACCATGGCCATAAAGCCATTTTTACTATTAATACTTCTGGACCCGCTAGAATCACGCACATGAGATGGCGGATGTTCCTTCCCACTCCATGCCATGCTGCTGCTGTCTGCCTGTATCCATGGGCTGCAACACAGCCCACCCTTCCCTGGCCTTTAACAAGCCATTTCCACTGAAAATAGCTGATATCAACTGCCCTCAGACCTGAAACCATAAACGAAAGTAGCCAAAACTAGCCAAATCCCCCCCCCCACAAGCCTAACTGACAAAAATCGCAGGACTTCCGATGATCTAATTGCGGCGGTCAAATTTTAAGGCTTTTTAAGGTCAGAATGTCTTTTTAAAGGTCAAAATTAAGGTTCCTGGTAGGGGCCTCAATTTCACGGTTAATTCAAGATTTCCCGGTCGGCTACAAACCCTGACACAAATACTGTGTTTGCTTTCTTATAGTCACATAATCAAATACTGTGTTTGTCTTTTTTATAGTTACATATGCAAATACTGTATTTGACTTTCTTATAGTCCTATAACCAAACACTGTGTTTGTCTTTTTTTTTAGTTACATATGCAAATACCGTGTTTGTCTTTCTTATAGTCAAATTATATATAGTTACATACACAAATACTGTGTTTGTCTTTCTTATAGTCACATAACCAAATACTGTGTTTGTCTTTCTTATAGTCACATAACCCAATACTGTGTTTGTCTTTCTTATAGTCACATAACCAAATACTGTGTTTATCTTTCATATAGTCACATAACCCAATACTGTGTTTGTCTTTCTTATAGTCACATAACCAGATACTGATTTTCTTTCTGATAGTTACATAACCAAATACTGTCTTTGTCTTTCTTTGTTACGTATGGTCTATAAAATATGGGTCTTATTCTATATGCTCAATTCGCCTGAAGATGTGGAAAAGATCCTTTACTTACTTCATCTTCTTTTTCTTTGTATCCACTGAATGTAAACTCTGGCAGAAAGTAGGTCAATTGCCATCCCCCCACCCCCAAACCCACATGGAGAAAGACACATCCATGATCACCAAGGATAAGAAAGCATCATTACTGAAACCTACCTGTGGTAGAATAGTCAGTCTGTTTCGAAGGTCATGAAGACCCATGCTACTGATGTCAAGGTCGTCTATAAAAATATGACCTTCAGCTGCTTCAATCATCCTAAACAAGGCCAGCGATAGTGAAGATTTTCCTGCCCCATGTCCGACCAACAATTCCAATCTGGAAGAAAGAGAAAAATATCTAATTTATGGATATTCTTGAAACAAAAAGAGCTAAGCTCATGTGCACTTTACAAAAAGATCAAAATTAAATACATGCAGTAAAACTTGGATGAAGAAAACACAATTTTGATATTCTACAAGATTCAAAACACTGAAGAAAATTGGCTGATAAACAGCATCATGTTTCAGAAATGGAAATATATCAGCCACAGTGACTTAGAACAGTAATGGAGGTCATCTTCGCTGGAAACTCCCCATGTGGGTTTGGGAACCCCATTATGGAGGAAGAAAAGAATAGATGCACTGCCCCCTAGCAAGCATGTCATAAGAGTCTACTAATTAGGGATGATTCATTCAAAGTCTGAGTGCATCTGCCTGAGAGGTAAGGAGCCAACAGTCTGCACACAAATAAGCCTGATCTTTACAATGGATATGCATGCAAAACCTATTTTGTGGAATAGAACCAGAAGTCCAGAAGTGGATGAACAGCCAGAACTTTCTGCCTAAGTTTATAGCCAGTGACTGTAATGAAGATAAAGAAGTTCCTGGAAGTAGATTTTTGTGTGTTTTGTTTTGGGGGAAGGCAATAGTTTACAGTACTATAATAATAAACAGGGCGAGGCATTGGAGGAAGCACTAACAGACACAGATTTAATCTGCTTGAATGATGGCAGACCCACCAGAATCCCAGACAGAGAAGGTGATACTGACAGTGCCCTTGATCTCACGCTGGTCTCTCCCAGTATGAGTGCACTCTGCCAGTGGGGCGTACTGGGACATCATGGAAGCGACCACCTTCCATGTTGGATTCTGGTCAAACAAACAATCTGCACAAGGTATCAGAGACCAGCTACTACTTTCCAGTACGCTGCACATCAGCCTAATGTAATTGGGTGTCTGCGAGACAGGTCACGCAGAACACCGGGAAAGAAGAAAGCTATCTTTCAACAGCCCCCGTGGTGGACACCTGAAGTCGCAGAAGCCCGGACAGATAAACAAGGTGCCACCAAAGACTGGGAGAAATGCAGAAAGTCTTCTAATTTTACTGAGGCGCTGAAACAAGACATTAAACACAAAAAAGACAGACTCACTGAACATTTTAAACAACTCGCAAAGGAGTCTAAGCACACAATGTGGGAACATTTTTGCGAAGAAATAGGTTATGAAAAATCACTCAAAAAATTCTGGCGGCTTCACCAAAAGATGAACGGAGGCAAACAAACCTCTGTTATGCCCGAGCTAAAGATGGACAACGGGGTGGTGTTACAATCGGATAGCGAGGCTATCCTGCACAGATTTCTTCTGCAGACGGAAAAGAAAGATAGGGAAGAGAGGGAACAGATGAGACAGATTTTATATGATATCCAGATGGCTGAAATGGAGGAAGTCGATGATACAGTATACATCTCAACGGACTGCATCAAAGCAACACTGAAGACCTGTCTGGACACAGCTCCAGGGCCTGATGGCATTAGATACAGCCACTTCAAAAGCCTCGAGGCGACAGATATTGATGAACTATCCACGATTTTTAACAACACCATGAAAACTGGCATTATTCCTGATGACTGGCTCCACAGCTACCTCAGACCGGTTCCTAAGCCAGGAAAAGACCACACGAGAATAAATGGCTACAGAATCATCACACTCCAGAACACTGTAGGAAAACTCATGGAAAAAATCGTTGCCAGAACGTAAACCCAAATATTGGAGTCGGGTGGCCTATTCCCCGCTATACTAGGTGGTTACCGACCAGGAAGAGATACATGGTGCAATGCTGCAGTATTTGCCTACGACACATATGAGGGTTTCCAGGAGGGAATAGAAACGGCTGCAGCCGCTATTGACTTAGAAGATGCGTACAACAGCGTCCCATACAACATGCTCATCAGACTGCTGTTGGATTGCAGATAGAAACAAATTTGGTCAACTGGATCGCAGCAGCGCTATTTGAAAGAACAGTGTCGCTTCGATGTGGTGAATGTGCATCTGAACCTCAACGCGTCCTAATGGGTCTGCTCCAGGGATCACCATTGTCGCCTGTGCTCTTCAATGTGTACACAGCAGGATTCACTAGTGCACAACGCGTAGGCCTAGGCAGAACAATGTATGCCGATGATATCCTTGTTTACCGTCGAGGTAAAAACAGGCAGGAAATTACAACCACACAACACGAACTAGACAGACTTAGTGAGTGGTGCCAGGAATCAAGAGCTCAGGTGAACCCGTCCAAAGCCTCCTTAACATGGTTCTCTCTGAATACCCACATCGTGAGTACACCAACGCCAGTCGTAAGCATATGTGGTGTAGACATCGAGAGAACGGACACCATGAAATACCTGGGCATGACATTTGACAGATGCTTGTCATACAAATGCCACGTAGACAACGTCATACTTAGAGCCAGGAAAGGTTTGACAGCACTCAAGGTGCTAGCAGCAGCTGATATTGAACAACGTCTACTTTTCCTTCTCTATCAAGGGCTTGTGCTTAGCGTCATTGACTATGGTCTTGGCCTCCTCACTGTCAGCGTTTACCAGCTAGAAAGACTGGACCGAGTACAGAATGAGGCCATGAGACTCATACTCGGCTGCACAAAAGACACCTCCTTCAACGCCATGCGTTATATCCTGGGTCTGCCGACTATGACTAGTCAACTGTATTTAACTTGTACCTCTCTGTAATTGTATTTAGCCACGACTTTTCCATAACCTGGATAACAAGAAAATCTTCCCTGCTACCATCTGTAATATTTGATTATACATGTTACATGTCTTCTGCTGGTCTTTTGGTTTCTGCCAGGAATTCCTAATTTTGAATATTAGCTCTCCATTAACTTTTTTGTGGGGGGAGGGGGCGCAATCTTGCTCTAGTCTACAGAGAATCTACCAATAAGAAATATGTTGAAAATCTATTTCAGTAAGGAGACAGTTGGACAGTCTGTTCCAATGTATGATTTTTTTTTCTATACTCTTATTTACAGCGCTCAACTTGTATGAATACAATGAAAGCACAATCTTATCACATTTGTGGACCATTCACCTTCTCCCTGGCATGGACTTGAAATGAGAGAGACTTGAGAACCAGGTCAAGCTGAGGTCGATATCGTGTGCTGTAGTTTTCAAAAACAACATTTCCAGAGTAAGGCCATTCCAGCGGTGGCTGTTTGTTGATGTCTGTCCATGCAGGCTGGTGAAAAAAAAAAAGAGAAATAGATACTGTGTCACATTTTTACAAGAGTGTTAAGTTCTTATACTCCATGGCGTGTGGTGTTGGTAGTCATGTTCATCCAGAAGCTTCTGTCTCGTGTCTTTTCAATCACTTCTGACACAGATGGTCTTCCCTGCCATGATGTAAACTTGTCTAGAACAAAAGTCTAAAGGGCAGACATTCATATAAACTTCAAATTTTCTAAACTTGTTATACATAGACATCTTCAGAGATCTGTGTGGTTTGAGGTTTTGAACAATGCATCAGCATCATGGTACACGGGTAGTAACCCATAAGTTCTCCATTCTTCTTCAACTTAAGTGTGAGTCCGAAGAAGCTCAGCACAGTGCACAAGCTCTGTAGCACCGGTGAGGATCCTGAAATACTTTTGGGTAGATTTTTCAAACTCCAAATTTTGCCGGGCACTGACGTTAGGCTAGTCTTTTCAATTTCCAACTGCCAAGGAATATTTTACGTGTGCAACAATGCACACGGGCGTCCGATCTCACTACACAGACCAGAGGAATTACTAGAAATCTAAGTCCGCGTGAAAAAATAATAGCCCATACCAGGGATTGAACCCAAAATCTCTAGCACTCGAGATGGACACCATGCCTCAAGACCATGCAGAACCCAGAACGGTGTGGTAAGATCAAGCAATTTCTTCTTCTTCTTTTTTCTTTTGCTTTTATCTCTTAATGAAGCACATACCTTCAACCAGCTTACATCGAGTCAACCTTTCCTTTGCTATTTCAAGCAGCTCACCCAATTTCATCCCAAACTTTTTAACTTTGCTCTCTAGTTCCCTTCTCCATGTGTTTTTGGTCTACCTTTATTTCTATGCCTATATGGGTTCCATTTTTAATCCCTTCTAGTTAATACCATTATTTATACAATATATTTAAAAAAAAATACAGTGAATACTTTAGATCCCAATCCTAACCCTGGGGGTTGAAGAGGATATTTCTGTGAATGTTGAATTAGGAATCCACATTACAGCACTCAGAACACCCCCATAAGTGCTCCGTCCCCATCTTTAGCAGCAAGCAAAGAGTTAAAATTCAGATGGCACCAGTAACTGTCTAATTGTATATCCATCTCGCCTTTCCTCTGAGTGTCGAGCGTTGGCTAGATCCCCTTATAACTCCCCGCAGCGCCATTCTCTTTAGACCCAAAGGGCCCTCACAACATCTAGCTTGTCATACATTAATTCACCACCAAGTGGTGCAGAACCGGCAAGTCTATCTGCCTGCTCATTTACCAACACACTGGCATCATCTGGAGAAAATATCCAAAGGATGCTACCTGGGACCTTTGAAGTGAAGCGTGCCACTCTGCACAGAGCATGCCTGTCTCCACCTTTCTCAACATGCTCTGTGAGTCAGTTGCAATGACGGCATGTTTGTACAGCTGATTCTCAAGCCAGCGGAAGGTAGCAGTGACTGCCTCCACCTCCATTCTCAAACTACATGTGTGCTATCATTTGCCAGGCTTTGTTGCACCAAGTGACATCCATTTGTCTTCGCTATAAACCCCCATGCACTTCATCTGCCCTTCAACATAGAGTCATTTGTTTGGACAATGATATCACATGGGCAGGAATTGTCATGAATCATTTGTTGAGCTTCTGATTCTGCAGCACCAGCTGGCCACTCCCTGCACTCATGACCTAAGGTGATTTTTTTTGAAAAGTACTACTACTGTATCAACTGAAAGATACATCTGTGAAATGAACTCATGACCTTCAGAGTGAGTGAGAGGTAAACAGATTGACCAAATCATTTTTTCCTAAATGAAGTAAGAATTTCCAGGTAGCAGTAGTAACTATCCTCAGGGTTATAATTAGGATATATAGTGTTAATTAAGTTCTCATAATATATATAAAAATATATACACACACATATATATATATATATATATATATATATATATATATATATATATATATATATATATATATATATATATATATATATATATATTATATGTGTTATTTTAAATGTATATATCTTTTTATTTATAGGGCCAAAATGTAACTTGTATTGTTTCACATTCTGCTTTGATTTGGGTTGTGATTTTGGTAGAAACTGTACTACAAATAATTAGACAATCTTACTAACACTATATCATTAACATGGTGGATACATTGTTTTCTTAGCGTGCAATCATTGATTATTCTCCTCAGTTCTATCTTTGCCATGTGAACCTTTGGCATATTGTAGAGTGACAAATAACAGCCCTGAAAAAAAAAATTGCGAAGCTGCTTTTAGGTGACTGGTGTGGTGTCAGGCATTTAAGGAACATGATGTAAAAACACCCACCTCATGTGGTAAAACAGTGTACTCCACAATCCTCTCAATAGACACACAGTTGGTCTCCAGTTGTGTTATGTTCTGGACCAATAATGTGAGGCCCTTTGTTACCTAGATAATCGGATTCAGTAACATCATGTTATTAATAAAATTGATCATCGTAATAACTGTACAAATCCTCATCCCAAGAGCGGGAACCCGTCTCTCCCACTCTTCACTGACACTGATCAGATTTGACTAACCACCTCTCGGTTCACCTATAAGAGGGAGATACCTGTTTTATGCCTTTTCTTTATAACATTATGAGAGTTCCATGTAAGTATAATATACTTTATATCATTCTGACATTTGTTATTTTGTTTCATGTGTTTATACAGTTTTTGAATTCTGTAATGTAGTAATTTTACAGTTTTTTTCTCCCTCATCTTTATTCTGCCAATAAAGGATAATTGCTGTAATGTCCTCTGTTAGTTTACTGTAATAAGAATGGAATGAGCTTAAATAACACCTGCTTGGTATTGAACAAGTTAACTCAACATTATCACACATTTGTGTCTGTCAGTTACTGGGTCCTCAAGGGGAAACAAAGAACCTGTCAGGAATATTATAAGTAATGATTACATTAACTCATTTGGTTTCAGGCAGTTTTTGCTTCAGCACTTTCTATTCTAAAGTGTGTACTTAAAGTAACAGTAAATGAATTTGAATGAGATAAGATAATGTAACTATAAAGCAAAGCAAGAGAAAGTAACAAACTGGACCTGTTAGATTAACAAAAGAGAAGAACAGAAGAAAGAAGTTAAGAAAGATTCTATGTGTAAGTATGACTTTAACTCTTTGAGTCCCAAGGAACGCATCATACGTTCAAAGGTTCCTACCTAGAAGCCCAATGAGCACATGATGCGCCGATTTTATTACTTTTTTAACTACCCCCTGGGCCTGTGATACTAAACTCCCTGGGACTCAAAGAGTTAAATAACAGTCAATGAGTTTTAATGGAATACAATTATGTAGCTGTAAAGAAGAGCATATGAAAGTAACAAATGGGACCTATTCGATTAACGTAAGAGAAGAACAGGAGAAAAGTATTTAGAAGCCAATTCTATGTATACATTAAAAGCAATGAATTATTAGGCATGTTCTAAGAAGAAAAAAAGGTAAGGGTTGATTTTTGAATTGGTTATCTAATTACATAAAAGCAATGAATTATTAGGCATGTTCTAAGAAGAGAATAAGGTAAGGGTTGATTTTTGAATTGGTTATCTAATTCCATAAAAGCAATGAATTATTAGGAATGTTCTAAGAAGAGAATAAGGTAAGGGTTGATTTTGAATTGGTTATCTAATTCCATAAAAGCATTGAATTATTAGGCATGTTCTAAGAAGAAAAAAGGTAAGAGTTGATTTTTGAATTGGTTATCTAATTCCATAAACGCAAGCCTGTGTTGCACTGGGGATAAAGGGCACAGTTTACGCACAGGTGATCTGATTATCTATACAGATGGTTGGGTGTTGAGAGGAAAGAGAAGTGTCTGGGGGTTCATAGCAAAATCCAATAAAAAATCTTTAGTGCAAGACAGCCTAGCATGCGACATCACATCTAGCATGAGAACGAACGAACAAACAAACTTTATTTCAAAGGGTCACAAAGTGGGCACGCAGGCCCATCTTACATTCGACTCTTCCAGTAACCATGGAGGAGGAGGCGGTAACTGCAGCTCTATAGTGGCTAGAGAACAAGATTCTTACACATGTACTTGTAACAGACTTTGAAGGCATGCTGAGAAAGGTGAAGAAAGGGATACTTAGCAGAGTGGCAAGCTTCACTGAGAAGGTCACGGGTAGTGAGCATAGTTTGGATCTTTTCTCTAGGTGACACCGGTGTGGTGGGTAATGAACAGGCAGATAGATTGGCTGGATCTGCACCACTGGGTAGTGAACTGATACATGACAAGGCAGATGTGGTAAAGGCCCTTTGGGAACAAGCAAGAGAATCAGTTGAGAAACAAGATTATTATGGCCTGGAGAGAATGCCGCACCTGGGTGTAACCACAGGGTCTGGCCGGCTCACTACACTCAAGAGAAATGGCAAGATGGACATATAACTAGATTGTGACTAGTACCATCAGTATTGGACCTCTGCGCTGGCTGCTGAAGATGAGGATGGAGCACACATGGGGATGTCCTGAGTGCTGTAATGTCAATTCTTGAGTCAACTCAACTCAACTGGGGATAAAAGGCACAATAATTGGAAAGAATAGCATATTTCAAAATGAACAATTTTAGAAAAGACTTACTTGTAATGCATATGACACAGAAAGACCAACTAAACTTCCAGAGATGTTATCGCTGATTACAGCAAACAGGCCAGCAAACAAAACGATCAAGTTGCCCAGAGCCTCAAGCCTCACCCGCAGCCACCTGAAATAACAAGTGTGCAAAAATAAATATGCGGTCAGTGTCAGAGACTATCAATATGAGTTTGGTTCTCTTCAACGCACTCTGGATACATCCATAAGTGCTCAGATTTCCCCTTTAACATATACACCAGCACCCAGTAGTTAATAGTGCCTGTCCTATGCTGGTTAACAAGACTTTGTACGTCCAGTGTGCCACTCATGCTTGGTCGTGCAAATGTTTACTCATAATATTAATATGGGCCAGTTGAATGTTTAGTCTGCATGGACTTTTGCACTAGCAGAAAAAAATGACACTTTCACAAAGGGAATCCACTGATACTCTCTTCATCAGAAATTATGAATTAAATGTATTAGAGGCAAAACCTAAAGAGGAACATTGTAGGGAGGAGATAACTTTAAAGTATAATATGGAAATCTATTTCTTGAACCTATCTCTACTCCAAACATATTGGAGCTCCAACTATGTTGTGGCTAGTGGAAGCAAACCCACACTTAAGCTGCCTCAGTAACAAAGAAAATTAAATAAAAAGAGTTCGTTAGGTGGGGGTAAGATAAAAAATATCTTACCCTGACAGAAAATGTTCTGTGTAGGGTCTAATAAACAATAACAGTCCAACCTAGGCACACTAACCACAAGTCCTAATCTGAATCAAAAAAATTGCAACTATAATTATCACATTTAACATCTGTTTATTTCACTGAACATAAGACTATGTTCTCCACAAATAATAATGCATTGAAAATCCACAACTTGTTCAACATATCCTAGCTACAGATGGAAACCTATCCCTGGCTACATACCCCAACCCGCATTGCGCCAAACCTCTGAACACAACAGGAAAATCAGAACTACATTTGACTCTTCAGAACAGCAGATGTCTAAGAGAGCGATGGGACCGCTCACATCTCTTTTATCACTTTCTGACCCCAAGTTTGCCAGGTTTTTGGTTCACTTCAAGCCTAATCAAAATTTTTATAACAGCCGCCCTGAGCCTGTCACATTAGGACTGGTCATGAAAATCAGAAAAGAAATACATTAAAACAGATTAAATTTGTTACTTCAATTGTATTAGATGTGTGGACAAAACTGTGTGACTTTTGCACAGTTTGAAAGAAATTCCCACTACGATGCAATCAGGCTCACTACAGAAGCAATTAGCACACATAAATTACCCACTTAACCCTACCAGACCTGAGGCCCTGAACCTAACTGCCCCCTATACCTGAGCTTCTGGGCATTAACATGAAAAAACCAACATGATATACAAACATATTAGTTACATGCAAACAAGTGGTTAGAATAAGATGAAACTTAAGAGATATTGTAGAAAATATGTCTACCTTTTATCTAGCACCAATATTTCACCTTTGTGTGCCAATCCACCAAGCAGGATAAGCCATGTTTCACAAAATGAGCACCAGATGTTGCTGTTTGATGGACACACTCCTTCTCTTACAATAGATCTAGTTTTAAATCTATAATTTTCAAGATTCTCCTCATCACTCGAGCTCTCAATGACTGTGTCACTTTAACTGGGAAAGTATTCCTAATGAAATCCTGACTCCTCAGAGTCTGAATCAACCAAAGTATTGATCACCTGTTGGACTGTGAAAAGCCTAGACCTACTTCACTTTCCTGTTGAAGTGCTTGGTTCATCAGCCACTCATTTCATTGTAAACTTTCAGAATTGTTTCATGTTAAACCACACAAAGTAAATCCAAACACACGCAGGCAGCCATTAGCAATGACTAACCATGAGTTTCGATCATGATTGGTTGGTTATTTTTAGTTTGTGACTGTTTTATCACATAGTACGCAAAGTACCAAAAATGAGGTACAGCAATTTAGCGGCAGGTAATGAAATTATTGGAAAAGCTGTACAGTCGTCTGGTAGAGTTAAGAGGCAAAGAAATTCTTCCACAACAGTTCATCAGATTTATGGCCATTGTTCTGAACTCTGCTAGTACCACAGTCAAATTAGTTATAAATGAACACGTGATGCATTTTTTGGGACCCAAAGAGTTAAGCTTCTTAAAGTTTCTGCAGTTATTTTCCCCTTTGTCCATAAGTCCCTCCTGTTTATTGTAGATCTTTAATAATTACACAATTTAACTCTTTAAGCCCAACACAGCAGTGGCTAAATAAACCTACTATGTCCTAGTTCTTCTTCCTATAGTCCATGATGTGTGGCGTTGGTAGACATGTCTATCCACAACCTTCTATCTTGAGTATTTTCAATCGGTTCTGACACAGATGATTTTCCATGCCATGGTGTCAAACTGTCCAGCATCCTCTCTCTCAGCCTCCCTCTGCTTCTTTTCTGCTCCAATGTTACCACATCATAATGTACTCCAGTTTTCTTCTTCTCATCAACTGACCAAAGTATGCAGATTGTATCCTTCTGATGTGGACAATCAACTCTCTTTGTGAGTCCGTTTCTTTCAAGATATCTTTATTACTCTTTGTACCTTTTCAGGGTATTCTCAATACTCATCTATAAAACCACAACTCCATCACTTCCAAATAATTTTTCACTAATCATCCAACTATCCATGATTCACTTCCATTCTAGAGTCAATTCAGTTTACCCTAACCCCTTGCTACAGTATCTTCTCCTATCCCATCCTGCTCCTACTTTAACTCTGTCTGATACACAGGGGCCATTTCTCTAACAAACTCTCCGAACCAGAAAGAAATGTAGCTACAGTTTCTTGCTACAAAATGAGTTTATATATTATTATTTAAGACTGCAGAAGTTGTACCAGACATCCTCTTTTCTAATCATCATCATCCTGTAACACTATGTGTCGTCGGGTCATCAGTTTCTCTTGACTGTCTGATCAGCTCTCTCCACCTTTGGCAGTCAGTTGCAATGGACTTCATGGTTGCATGCCTGAGGCCTGTCCAGTCAGTCAGGTTCTTTGTTGGTCTGCCTCTTCTCCTCTTTCTCTGAGCCCTGCAGTATTGTTTTTGAGAGGCTGTTAGATCATATTACATGTCCATGCCATTGCATTTTTTGTCTTTTCACTGTGGTTAAAAGAGTTTCAAAGTTGCCAATGTGCTGTATAATGTTATGGTGAACCTCTTCGTTTATAATGTGGTCTCTGTATGAAATGCCAAGAGTTTTTCTAAAACATCGCATATCTAATGCTTGTATCTTTCTTTCAAGTTCAGCTGTTAAGGTCCACGTTTCACAGCCATATGTAAATGTACTAATAACTAGTGCTCTGAGCAATCGAATCTTAGTTTTTCATGAAATGTTTTTGGACTTGAAAAATGTTTGCTGCTTGGCAAGGACTACTGATGTCTGGGTAATCCTAGACATGATTTCTGGTCTTGACCCCAAGTCACTTAAAATGGATCCTAAATATTTGAAATGAGTCACTTATTCTAATATGTGGCTTTTAACGTAGATTGGTGAAATTCTGCCAGCAGGATTATTAGTCATTACTTTTGTGTTTTTCTGTGTTTATTTCCATGCCATGTTTGGTTGATATTTCATCGAGTAGATTTACAAGCTCGACTAGCTCTTGATCCTTTTTTTTCGGCCGACCCATTGATGTCACCTGCAAACCTTAACTTTTCTAATCAAAACTGAAATTAACGTTCATGAAATTAACCATTACAGACACATTACAGACACTGACCGTGCTGTTGACAATGATGCGAAGGCACATTGGTTGTTGTGGTCAACGAGAACCAGGGACTCTTTAAAGAATTCCTCTTCCAGACGATAGGCTCTGATACTACTGGCTCCATTGATGGTCTCTCCAAAGTGAGAGAAAATTGGGGATCTGGTTGTAGACTCAAGACGACGAATCTGACGTGACGATGAGATGTAGAATTTCTGAAACCAAAATCAGCATGGTCGTGTGAAGTATTACATTCTTCTGGTCATTGAGATATTAACACACAGGGAGTCAGCCAAAGATAATACATACATACATGTGGTCAATGAGATATTAACAGATGGAATCAACATAAGATAATACATACATTTATGTGTTCATTGAGATATTAACATATGGTGGTAGTGTCACATAATACACACATTCATTTTGTTGATGAAATAATAAAATGGGCGATAATGTGAGATAATACACTCACTCGTGTGATCAATGAGATATAAAGACATGAGGTAGTGTGAGATAATACATACATTCCTGTGATCAATGAGATAATAATTAGTTAGTTAGTTAGTTAGTTAGTTAGTTGGGTTATCCTCATTGCACTCCGGACATGTCCATAGGTGCTCAGATCCTCCCCTCAGTATGAACTCCAACGTCCGATGGCTAATAGTACCAGTTCTATGTTGATTAACAAGTCTTCTGGCGTGTCTGGTGTGCATCTCGTTTTTTGCTGTGCCGATCTTAATTCCCAAGTCTGCCATTCTGGCGAGTGATGTGGATTCACTGCCACCAAAGTCCTCTATCCTTCCCATTTCTCTGAGGGCAATGATAATATCAGCATGATCCATAGGCTGACCGTCGGTAGTGATAGCGGATCCAGCCAACCTGTCAGCTCTTTCATTTCCATCGACGCCTGCGTGTCCCGGAACAAAAATAAAGGTGACTCCACGCACAGTGGACTTCTGTAATGATTCAAGCCATTGTCTTCGCACTGAACCTGCCTGAACCCTCCGGATCATACTCATTGAATCACTGAGTATACACACGCGGGTGTATTTTTGTGTTTCAAGCCAGGCAAACGCTTGCGTCACTGCCATCACTTCCATCGTCATGCTGCTGGTTGTCATGGAGAAGGCGCCGTTGGCTTCTTTGACTATTCTGCCCACTGAGCGTGCTGTAAATACCCATGCGCTTCTTCTTTGGCGTATAACGGATCCGTCTGTATAGATTATTGCATCTGCTTCGTCTGAATTTTCACCGATGAGAGCGTTGACCTCTGCATTAACAGCAACAGGATTCTCTTCTCTACATCGCCTGTTGAGTGTGACAATACAGGAAAATGTGCAAATGAACGCCTGAGGCACAGGTATCCATTCTGCACCAGGTATGATGTCGGTTAGGCTGCATATTTGCCTAATAACATCTTCTGCCCGGCCTAGCCACGATTTCCCCCTCTTCAGTCTGTCGCCCTTTTCACTAAAAAGTGCTTGATGCAGTGGGTGTTTCTTATCAGCACATATTTTGAGATATGCCCGAGCCCTCCACATCCTGATCCTTTGGTTCATTGTTGGAAAGTCAAGTAGATACCTCATTGCTTCACAGGATGTGTCTCTTGTACATCCCAAAATAATGCGCATGGCTTCATTTTGCACCTTTTCGAGTCTTTCAATCTGGGTAGCACTGACAGTGAGGATGGCCAGAGCGTATTCAATGGGGGAAAGGACCAGACCGTAGAATAGAAGTATTAGTAGTCTTTGCTCAATATTGGAAGCAGCCATAATCCTCATTGCAGATAGACCTTTGCGTGCTTTTGTTATCACATGGTCAACGTGTTTCCTGAATGACAAGCTGCGATCGAACCTCACCCTGAGAAACGTCATGACGTTGGTTCTGATCAATACATTATCACGCATTTTCACTTCTGGTAAGTCCGACTTGACAATGTGATTGTTCAAAGAGAACCATGACACTGATGCCTTCGAAGGATTGACATAGGCATTGGAACCATCACACCAGGCGGCAATTCGATCGAGTTCTTTGTGCATAGTGCTGGCGATCTCCTGTCTATCACGCCCTCGTCGATAAATCAAAATGTCATCAGCAAATGACAAAGTCCTTCCCTTTCCATTCAACTGCTGCTCAGTGATCATCACCGTATAAACGTTGAATAAGACTGGTGATAGCGGTGATCCCTGTGGCAAGCCTGGACATATCGTTTGCGGTTCTGAGGACCAGCTACCACATCTTAGTACAATCTTTCTCTGGAACAGGACCGCAGCAATCCAGAATAGGATTAACTTCTAGTTTAAGCAGTAATTGCATTAAATAATCATATGGTACTTTATTGTAGGCATCTTCTAAGTCCAACACTGCCGCACATGTCTCTTCTTTAATCTGAAATCCCTCGTACACATCGTAGGCGAAAACTGCAGCATTGAACCATGTCTCTTTATTGTACCTGTACCCTCCAAGTGTTGGTGGGAACTTATCATGTAGTTCCAAGTAGGTGGTCAATCTTTGTGCAACAATTTTTTCCAAAAGTTTGCCAACAGTATTCTGCATCGAGATGATTCTGTAGCTGCAGATCTTTGAGTGGTCTTTATTAGGTTTTGGTAGTGGGAACAAATAACTATGGAGCCATTCCTCTTGTATCTGGCCACTCTGGATGCTGATATTGAATTCCTTTGCCACGCTTTTCAAATCAGCATTCAACATCATCAGCATGTCGTTGTATCGGATGCCGTCAGGGCCTGGAGCAGTGCTGCGCGATTTCTTGAGGCAAGTTCTTAAGGTATCTGCAGTGATTGTGAGATCAGTGCCTAGCGCAGTGTTCTCGCACAGCATCGACAGTTTCATCTTAACCCCTATTCTTATAGCTTCGTCTTTTTGGTCAGTTTGCTCCAAGTAGCGCGCCAGAAGGGTTTTTCCTTTATCAGCATCAGTTCTCTGCCATATCAGGTCTGTACCCTGAAAATCAGGGATACCCCTTGGTCGTGCGGCGCCGTGCATGCTCCGTTGAAGGCGCCAGAATGTAATGAGATAATAAGACATGAGGTAGTGTGAGATAATACATACATTCCTGTGATCAATGAGATAATAAGACATGAGGTAGTGTGAGATAATACATACATTCCTGTGATCAATGAGATATTAAGACATGAGGTAGTGTGAGATAATACTTACATTCATTTGGTGAATAAGATTTTAAAATATGGAGTAGTGTGAAATAATACATGCATTCATGGTGACAATGAGGTATTAATATATGAGAAAGTGTAAGATAATACTTTCATTCATTTGGTGAATAAGATTTTAAAATATGGAGTAGTGTGAAATAATACATGCATTCATGGTGACAATGAGGTATTAACATATGAGGTAGTGTGAGATAATACTTACATTCATTTGGTGAATGAGATTTTAAAATATGGGGTAGTGTGAGATAATACATGCATTCATGGTGACAATGATGTATCAACATATCAGGTAGTGTGCGTGTCATATGACAGAATCCACACACCTGAGCAGGCCCACAGTCTGAACACCCCCAAAATCGTCATTGTAGCTATGATATCGGATGGTCTGACCGTAGTTATATAGTTCGTTTGTTGTGGGGGAGTCCAGATAGGAGAAATCCTTATAAATCACTCTTAGATTGATTCTTTTAGGCTTTTAGTGTCAATTTACACGTTAGGACACCTTTTCTATGCCTATTTAAGATAAATTGTCTGACCGCTTCACAATATTCTTGAGCCATATTCTTACACCAACTGCCGTAGATAGGGACTGAATTTTTATACGTCACTTCTCCATGGTCCATTCAAGTGAGCGAACGTATTACACTTTGTAGCCACTTGACCGTTAAAAAGACAAGCTTCTTTATTCTATTTATCCATTTATCATGGGTGAGTTTTCCTAAAAGGTTAATTGAATATTTGTGCTCAGTGTCTGTATGTGTATGTAAGTAAGGTCAGCAGATTGATAATGCGAATCTGTTTGTCTACGATCGCCTGCAAGGAAGGACGACAGATAGCGATCCTGGTTGGAATGCACTTTCGGCTGAAATTTCTCGGTGAATTCTTCGAGCCGGCTTTCTAAACCTCTTCGGATCAATCAATCCACATATCTGGAGTTCATTTATGGTATTGTTAACTTTGTATGATTAGTTGTTTTCTTTTATTCGGTCTCTGAACTTGGTGAGTCGCTGGACCGTTGGGAAGGACAAGAAGCTTCGGGTCAGGCATGACGTCATATCCGCTTTTGCCAGGAGCTACTGTAACCACAACAAGCTTAGACTGTAGAAATGCTTTCTGAGCATATTTCCTTCGATCTTGCTTTTGTCTTCATCTCCTATACCTTATCTTTCCAACTAGTGAAAAGGGTATATTAAGAGGAATGGGGAAGGATAGAGATCTGTCTGGCTTTCGCTACAGGACTGAATTCAGAAACTATTCGAGTTAATGGAAACGTACGTACGACTCTAGTGCTCACTCTGGAAAACTGCACGGGTTCCGAGATGTAGGACGTCAACCTTCATGGTTTGGACTAGCCTCAATTATATCTGAGCATGTGGAGGTGGTGAAGATAGTGATTAACTAGGTGCATTGGGTACGGTTCGCTCATGTGTGTTGCCTTGTTAATTTCAGGATTTTTGAAGATCCAACAAGCGTCCGTGGCGTAGTCGTGCTCTTCCACCAGCCAAAACCAGGGAAGCAACTGACGTGTGTTGTTCAACCATTACTGAATATGTGGACTGTGTGCAAAGTCTACATCTACCCGTCTCTGGGGAGTTGATTGTCCTATAATCAATTCCAGAGGTATTATCTATTGTGCGGAGATCTTCTGAGAAGTGAGACGTTGCAGAGTTTCATCTTCCGGCACCCTGAGGAGCTGCAGGATCCAACCAGATAAGTCAAAGTAACATTCTGTGGCGGCTTGATTCCAGATGTGCCTTCATAATTTGTCTCATACCTCCATGCAAGGATGATTCCGGAAAAAGATGTAGCTTTGTAGAAAGACTTTTTCTCTATTCTTTATTCTTCAGAGAATTGAACAATCAGTCTAGTTCTTCGTGCTACTTTTGATCTTTCGTGTTATGAAGTATTGAATACATCGAAGTTTTAGTTCACAAGACGTTCTGTTCTTCGAAAGGTTTACTGTTGGTGAATTAATTGTCGTAGTCAGAAAGGTATTCACGTCTTGTCATATTCACTGTTGTTAACATATTTGACTGTGTTACATTGTTTACCAGTCTGGGGGCAATTTAGTAATGGGGACGTCTGGCCGAGAGGTACCCAAGAGTTCATAGTAACCCTGTGGAGTCAGAGCTCGAGTCACCTCATTCCTGAGACAGGTTGAATGGAAAGTTTGAACCGAGGGTTAGGCCTCTAGACGAACGAGAGCCACCATTCAAAACGCTCCTGTCTCAGAGCACCTGAGGGATTTGTGAAAATAATCCGTAAGTAAAGGTGCGCGACAAAACTGCCATACGACAGTGCGATAATACATACATTCCTGTGATCAATGGGATATTAAGACATGTTGTTGTTTTTGTTGTTGTTATCGATCCAGCGGTGCATGAGCTTTCGCCCTTTGGCCCAATGCCATGTTGTGGAATTTGCATGTTTTCACAAGCTGTTCTTTTCCTCTGTACAAGGTGTTCCACTTGTCTGGTCTCGGAGGGAGAAGCATTCTTCTAGTCTCGCTGAGTTTTGGGCACTCAAAGAGATGGTGTTCAACAGTTTCATAGGGGTAGTTACATAGCTGGCACTCTGGGGAGTGTTGTGGCTGTATTCTGTTTAGATGTCCACTGAGTGGAGTATGTTGTGTTCTAAGTCTGAAGATGGTGGCCTGGTCCCTTCTTGTTAGATGGTTATTGCTGTCATTAGGATCACGGCCAGCCATATGTCTATAAACCTCTCTTCCAGTGTCTCTCATGGCCCATCTAGTAAACCAAGTCTCTTTGTTTATAGCTCTTATAAGTGATTTTGCTGTCTGTAGGGTTGTCGCTGTAGGTGGTTGTTCTTGTGTTGCTCCTTTCTTTGCCAGCTTGTCAGCTCTGTCATTACCTGGTGTGCCGGAGTGGTCTGGAATCCCCTGCATCAGAAACTGTCAATCTACTTGAAAGAGTGCCATAAAGAGATATCACATCAAATGAGAAGTAGAACTGATTAGGGACACTTATAATCTACAAGTATGTTACAATTGGACTCGCCTGGGAAGAAAACATAGGCAATTTGACTAGCCTGAAAGAAAACATAGACAATTGGACTCACCTGGAAGAAAACAGACATTTGGACTCACTTGGAAGAAAACATACACAATTTGACTAGCCTGAAAGAAAACATAGACAACTGGACTCACCTGGAAGAAAACACAGACATTTGGACTCACCTGGAAAAAAACACAGACATCTGGACTCACCTGGAAGAAAACGTAGAGAATCAGAATTGGAATCACAACTGCAAGGAAGATGGGAGTGGTGTATGAAATCACCACAACAACCGAGATGATGGTAGAGAGAGTTTGTAAACACATTCGCACCTGCCGGGACATACCCACATCTAAGACATCGACATCCCGAGAAAATCTGAAAGGAAAGGTTATTCATAAAATGTTCTATCATTTAATTATTCTCTATATAACAAAAATGTGTCATCTTCTTCATCACTTCTGACAGAAGTTCATTAAAAATCCGTCACATCCCAATCTGCTGACATTAGTTCAGCAATAATCTTCTATATCACAACCTTCTATTATTAGTTCCCCAAAAATCCTGATGTCCCTATCTATAAAACGAATTTAAAAAAAAAAGTTTGGTTCTGGAACATGATAAAAGTCCAGAAGTGAAAAAACAACCAGAAATTTCTGTCAAAGTTTACAGCTCGTGAACATGAAGAAGAAGAAGTAGAAGAAGAAGAAGAAGAAGAAGAAGAAGAAGAAGAAGAAGAAGAAGAAGAAGAAGAAGAAGAAGAAGAAGAAGAAGAAGAAGAAGAAGAAGAAGAAGAAGAAGAAGAAGAAGAAAAGAAGAAGAAGAAGAAGAAGAAGAAGAAGAAGAAGAAGAAGAAGAAGAAGAAGAAGAAGAAGAAGAAGAAGAAGAAGAAGAAGAAGAAGAAGAAGAAAATAAAGAAGAAGAAGAAGACTAGTGATGACATTTCTAACCTGTTCAGAATTCTGCCTAGTGGTGTTGTATCAAAGAAGGTCATTGGCTGATGCAATATAGTATTCAACATGCTGTTATGCAGGCGCTGGGAAGCAACAACAAACTGCACATACACCAGCAAAACAAACACACAATTGGCAGCCACTGGAAGTAGACAAAAACAATCAAACTGTTAAACCAGAGATTATTCATATCACTGTCAGTTGAAGTTAGCCGAACCAGCCAGCCATGTTCATATTATTTGAGGTAGTAGAATAGTTAAAATAAAGCAACTCTCAACCATTGTAAATTGCTAGAAATAAAAACAAAAATGTATTTTAATGCTCCTGTAGATCACACTAAATACAATTTGTTGCCATCTTTGTCCACAGTCCATTAGCTCACATGTAGCCAATAATTTCTTTTACTTATGTTGCTTCATTCCACATTGATGAGTTGGTTAGTATCTTTTCAATAGTCTTCATGCCTCTATTATCATGACATTTCAATAATCCCTTCATGATTTTTCCCAATGAAATGGATTCTCTAAATGAGTTCCATAGAGCAGTAAGTTTCTTTTTTTCAAGGCATCTTCATTAAAATATTTTCTGTTGAGTGTTTTCTCAGAATTTTATTCTGAAACCAAATATGTAAATTTTCTTACAATTTTTTTATGAAGCCACATTTGTAAAGTTTCTCACAATTTTATTATGAAGCAACATCTGAAAAGTTTCTCACAATTTTATTATCAAACTACATCTGTAAAGTTTCTCACAATTTTACTATCAAACTACATCTGTAAAGTTTCTCACAATTTTATTATGAAGCCACATCTGTAAAGCTTCTAAGTAAAATCTTTTTAACATACTGATTGTTAATTTATATAATCACTAGCTGTACCCGGCCATGCGTTGCTGTGGCCCAGAATGGTGAAATGAAGAGGAAAGAAAATAGCTCTTAGCTATCAGTGTCTGTCATATCCCCTTCCTCTCCCCTTGACGAGGTCATATTTCCCTCTCCGAAGGATTGAAAAATTATCACCTGGCGAAATTATTAAAATTGAAATAGTTCAGAAATGAGGACATTAAAAAAATATTTTAAGCTCTCTCAGCTAACGGTGTCTGGCAACACCCCCCCCCCCTCCCGCTCCCCCAATCATATGTCCCTCTCCCAAAGATTGAAAAATCATCACCTGGCAAAGTCATATCTCCCTCTCCGAAGGACTGAAAAATCATTCATGGCGAAATTATTAAAATAGAAATAGTTAAGAAATGAGAACTTTAAAATAATATTTTAAGCTTTCTCAGCTAACTGTGTCCGGCATAAACACCCCCCCCCCCCCCCCCCAATCATATCATCTTCTCCAAAGGATGGGAAAGTCACTGTGTAACGAAATATTGTAACTAAATTTAGCTTTGCATCCATGTCCACCAGACTTAAATAGGTAGCATTAACTTGTACAGAGAAGTAAATGTAGCCAGTGTAATAGCTACCACATCACCCATCCAGTACCAGTACTACTGCAACCCCAACCACCACCACCATCACAACAACAACAAAAACTGTCACTACAGTCTGTGTAGGTTGGTGTAGAAAAGAGGAGTTAGCGTCGCATGCTGTCGCCACGGACTATTTAGTTTGATTTTAAACCCGGACATAGGAAAAAAAAAACTTAACCAGTGATGGAACCCACAGTGAAAAGTACACTATACTCACGAATAGCGGAGAAAAATACTCCGCACCTGTCATCTCTCCCTCTCCGAGGGAATTATTTTTAACTATATTGACATCCGTGTCCACCCAAACTAAACTGGACTGTAAGCCGTCTTAGTTAACAGTTTCTGGCATCGCCAAATAGTTTTTGATCGAGAAGCGTCGCGGGAAGGCTAATTAGGACTTAACTGAAATCAGATGTCTTTGGGCGAAAGGCGCAGATATCGCAGCCTAGCTGTAAACCACAACACAACGTGGCAACCAACCTTTTAGGGGGAAAAGAACAATTATCACCCAGCAGGGAATCGATCACCGGTCACCCAAGTGAAGGATGACATACTTACAACTAAACTACCTATGACTGAAGAGTTTAGGTCAGATATCGCAGCCTAGCTGTAAACCACAACACAATGTGCAAACGGCCCTCTCAAGAGCGAATGATGATTACATGTGATATGACCATTGAGCATTATGTCGCCACTGTCGCAGGCTAGCTGTAAACCCCAAAACCAAAAAAGGCGTAGATATCAAAGCCTAGCCATAAACCACAACACAACGTGCCAGCAGCCCAGTTAAGTGCTAAAGAAAAAAAATTAAATCACCTAGCGAGGAATCGAACGTGGGTCACCTGCATAATAGGCAGAATATCTACCAACTACGCTACCAAACACTCAAGCAAATAGTGGAAATGAAATTATATAATAATGCAAAGTTCAATAAGAGCTCAGCAGTCAAATATAGCCGATCACATAAAAACAAATCTGGGCCGGCAACGAAACAAATAATGATTTGACCGTTGCTGGAGCTACGTCGTTCGTAGTTTTTGCGATTTTGTGATAAAAAATCACGCTTGCAGTCAAAGCCAACGTTGTGTGCAAATTTGAAAGCAATCGGTTCAATAGTTTCCGAGTTTTTAGCTAACAAGATAGGAAAATTAACATTTTATTAATATAGATGACTGACTCCATAAACTTTGTACAAGTATCTTTCTCAGTTTAACTGACAAAGATATTTTGCATGCATTATTCTATATTTTATGGCCTGCAGCCCCCTCTCCTCCCCCCCCCCCTTTCTCCCCAGTGTTCTAAAAGGTGTGTGTACTCACAATAAAGAAGCTCTGGAAAAAAAATTAATGCCTAAACGAGGTGCTGGTACTCTATACCATTGGATAGATGCCATAAACAAAAGACTTGCATGTATGTTTACCAAAGTAGAAGTTAAGGTAACACACTAGTTGCCACGCATGTCAATTCTTGACTTAACTAGGCTTGTCTGGTGGAAAAAATTAGAATCCTCATCAAGACTGATTTTCAAAATTGACCAAAATGGCAACCATGAAATTTCCAGGAGGCAAAAGTTACCTCATTTGGTACTGACTGCCTTATTAATGTGCTGGCACTAAATGTCTCAAAGTGCAAAACTGGGACAATTCTTTTTACTTTATGTATTACCAAAATGTCCAGATATGATAACTGAACAAGACGAATCCTTCATATAATTGAACTGTAACAAACATAACATAGCCCTTGACCAATTAGGGTTGTGGAGGTGTATTGATATAAGTATTAGGACATAAAATAGTCTACTAAAATGTTCATGTCATGTGAAATAAATTCAGCTAATAAAACCAATCCTTTTATCTTCTTGGCAGTGTGCAATGGCAGTACTGACATTCTTTTGGGCATATTTACTTTTTCAGTGCTGTCGTAATAAACACTTTGTAATGAGTACCAGTATCTTTTAAGGCACTTTATGGTAACTACTGACACCTTTTTCTAGAAAAAAATGCCCTGCATAAAACTATCAACATTGTTTAAAACAAACAAACTCATCAACACAGACCTTGCAACAGGGACAGAGCTGTATAGACTCCAAGGTACATATATGTTTTGGAAGTATATGAGTCCGTTCCTGAATTGTTCTCATTTTTCAGGAATGGGTCGTCGGTCCATTCAGAAAGCCAGACTCCTGATCCCACATTGAAACCATTGAACAATAACACGGACATCAGAACTACAGTTGTGGAAACATATCCAAAAGCTCGAAAAAATGCCAATAAAACTGCAGTCTTCACCTGAAGATAATGAACCGAGTATGAAGCAAATATTTCTTTCTGTGTTAGATATATTTTGGATTACTGTATTAGATAAATATTGAATTAACTATTAGCATCATTACTGACTATATTTATGACATGTGATGTAGACAAGGAAGTCTTTGAGTCTAAGGGTTTACGGCCACATGGCTGGTGCAGTCACCATGGACTGTTTACGGTCGCATGGCTGGTGCAGTCACCATGGACTGTTTACGGCCACATGGCTGGTGCAGTCACCATGGACTGTTTACGGTCGCATGGCTGGTGCAGTCACCATGGACTGTTTAAGGCCACATGGCTGGTGCAGTCACAATGGACTGTTTACGGCTGCATAGCTGGTGCAGTCACCATGGACTGTTTACGGCCACATGGCTGGTGCAGTCACAATGGACTGTTTACGGCTGCATAGCTGGTGCGGTCACCATGGACTGTTTACAGCCGCATAGCTGGTGCAGTCACCATGGACTGTTTACGGCCGCATGGTTGGTGCGGTCACCATGGACTGTTTACAACCACATGGCTGGTGTAGTCACCATGGACTGTTTACGGCCGCATGACTGGTGTAGTCACCACGGACTGTTTATGGCCCCATAGCTAGTGTAGTCATCATGGACTGTTTACAGCCGCATGACTGGTGCAGTCACCACCGACTGTTTATGGCAGCATGACTGGTGCAGTCACCATGGACTGTTTACGACCGCATGGCTGTTGTAGTCACCATGGACTGTTTATGGCAGCATGGCTGTTGTAGTCACCATGGACTGTTTACGGCCGCATGGCTGGTGCGGTCACCATGGACTGTTTATGGCGGCATAGCTGTTGCAGTCACCATGGACTACAGGGTAGGATTTTATTTTTGCCTGACAGAAAACCGTAAAACCTTACCGAAGATTCTTTTTCTTCTTCTAGCATTGACTACCTTTAAACTCTGGTGGAAAATTTTTGTTGTCAGTCTGCTTGTAAACATTAATCTTATTCTGGAACTTGAATTTAGTGTGCACATCCGTTTTACAGATCTGGTTTATCTGCATGAAGACTATTGGTTTTTCACTGCTTAGATAGATGCACTCAGACTTTGAAGGAAACATCCCTAATTGGTCGACTTTTATGAGTTGCTTGTTTGGGAGCAGTAGGTCTATTACGCCCCTCCCCCCCCCCTCCCAATCTATTAAAAAAAAGTGCCACAGAATACAGACAGGTAGACCAAGGATTCACACCTGGGTTTCCCACCTGGGAGTTTAACTTCTTAAACATTTAGCCAGGATATTTTAGTCAGTTTATCACTACCGACGTTCAGCCTATGGATCATGCTAATATTATTAATGCTCTCAGAGAAATGGGAAAGGAGGAGGACTTTGGGGAGCAGTGAATCCACATAACTCACCAGAATGATAGACTTGGGAAGTGGTAGGAGCCACTAATTATCCGTAGTATTCGTGGGTTGGCTTTGTGGGTTAAATGAGATGTGGGAAATGTTGGTTGTCCTGTGGAGAGAAAATGTGGGTTAAATATAGCTATTGATGGGGTCGTGACCCATAGAACAATTTTTTGGAAAAGCAGGAGCGACATCAGATTGGTCCGGTGTTTGATTGTTGGGTGCCCCTAGCCCCTCTACCCATTTGTATTGTTTAAAGAATACAAAGTAAAAACTCTCTCCAGATGTTTCTCTAGACAGCGCCACTGTCTTGAACAAGTAAAAGTATTCTTGCGAGAGCTGAAAACTTCAAGTTGGCTCAGATAAGACTAAGAAATTGTACATAGACAAACCGAGTGAATTAATGAACTGTTACAATGACAACATAGCTGACGTCAAAATAGAAATAGTATTAGTCTAATTACAAGACTGGGCAAAATATGTCTCGCCATAATCATTATTCGCTTAGTGACATCTGAAACCAATGTTATCGTAAGTACCATGGTCACTCAGGAATGAGTCGGCTAGTAATCTGATAAACAGTCTCTGATCTTCGAAACACATTCATGTCTGTCAAGACAGAGGCGCCGCCTAGAGAAACATCTGGAGAGAGTTTTCGCTTCCTATTCTTTAAACAATACAAATCGATAGAGGGGTTAGGGGCCTCCAACCATCAAACACCGGATCAATCTGATATCGCTCATGCTTTTACGAACTTTTTTTTTCTTTGGGTCATGACCCCATCCAACAGCTATATTCAGCCCACATTTTCTCTCCACAGGCCAACCAACATTTCCCACATCACAGTCAACCCACAAAGCCAACCCACAAAGCCAACACACAAATATTACGGATAATTAGCGTCACCTACTACTTTGGGAGTTAAGATCGGCATAGCAAAACACCAGATGCACATCAGAGGACTAGCCACTGGACGCTGGGGTTTATACTAAGGGAAGGTTCTGAGCACCTATGGACATGTCTGGAGTGCATTGATGATAATCCAACTAGCTAACTAACTAACTAATTTTAGTCAGGTTTATTTTCTTATTGTTGTAAAAAGTGATCCCAGCTAGAAGTAGATAGTTTTTTTTTTATTTAGAAACTTCTGAGACAGTTCTTCCTTCAAATATTTGAAAAAAAAAAAAATATTGAAGAAATGCATTTTTCCACTCATTGTTTCTGATTTTCAGTTTATACATTTATGAATACTTTCTTTTATCATTTAATACATTATACTTAATGAATCCCTAGGTTTAATATTATAACAGATGTAAATTATGATGTTTCAGTTGGATCATTTCTGATCCATGCATAAAATATCTATTGAATTGTTTAAAGTTGTTGTTCAATGATGTCTTCAAACAATATGACAGTTTGAATCTATCCATTTGTTTTAACTCTTCCGTCTTAAATAGGTACAGAGAAATAAAAACTGTATACATGAGGGAGATGAATGGTCATAGACCACGAGGCAGACCTAAAAGACGATGGAAAGATAATATCCAGACAGACCTGCAAACACTTGGTGTTACTAACTAGAAAGAGAAGACCAACCAGAGAGATGAATGGAGGCAGGTGATATCTGCAGCAATGAGCCTCAAGGGCTCGGAATGCTGAAGAAGAAGTCTTAAATAGGTGTTGCTTTAACTCACTTATCCCGAGAAGTTGTGATTAAAAAACAACAAATACTTGAATCTGAAGGTGTTCAACAGAGACACACAGGGACAGAAACAGTTAAACTTATAATTCAGGTACAAAGTGTTTATACAACATTTGTTTGTGACATAAGACAGCAACAACAAAATATAGTCTTTGAAATGACCAAGAAACATACGGTGTATTGTTTGGCACTGAAAGATTTAAGTGTCTGTGGAATTATCAGTTTTGTTTCTTTCTTTTTTAATTGGAGGGAACTTAGCTCAGTGTAAAAACTCTATGATATTGCTGCTATTTTTATAAAAGATTTTAAGAGACTATTACAATTATGTTTTAAGTTCTTTATTTTAAAATTAAATATGTTATCATGGAAAAGTATAACACTGCTGGTATTCCTAACATTGTAAAAATAATTATCTACATATTTCAGTCAAACTCTGTAATCTTAAATCAAAGTGAAGTAAAGGACACTTATCCTCGCCTTTAGGGTATATAGGGCTAGACCTATATTTTATAGACCAAGCAGCATTTGGTGGGTAATGTGGTCAGACCTCGCCAGGATTTACTTCCTAGGATCATACCTCATACCCACTCAAGACAAGGTCAACCTAGGAGCCAGGTCATTGTTGAAAAAATTTCTGCCCCCTTCAGGACTTGAACCCATGACCTTCTGATCTGCAGGTGAGCATCTAGCTGCTGGAACATGGAGGCTCTCTACAGAAGCCATGTCTATAAGTCACCCCAACATAAATTCATTCACAAATACTAATTTATGAATTAGGTGAAATTATTAGGAATTTAGAATTTCTTAGTGTTTAATTGTCAGTCAGAAAACTGTTTTCTTTTTTTATGGCAAATACTTATCACTTCAAATGTCCCAGGTCGTTAGCATGCATTACATATTTTCTTCAGGTTATGCCGGTGTGTTGGGAAATGAGCAGGCAGATAGACTGGCTGGTTCTACACCACTTGGTGGTGAACTGATGTATGACAAGCTGGATGTTGTGAGGGCCCTTTGGGAGCAAGTGAACAGTGCCGAGGCACAGATAGATCATTATGGTCTGAGGAGAATGGCACTGCGAGGGGTTGCAAGGAAATCTGGCCGACGTTTGACTTTCAGGGGAGAGGCCAGACGGATATACAATCAGACCATTACTGGTACCATCAGAATTTTAACTCTTCGCTTGCTGCTGAAGATGGGGGGACGGAGCACTTACGGGAGTGTCCCAAGTGCTGTGATGTCGATTCCTAATTCAACATTCAACACTGGCGAATACTTTTGATCCTCACTGCTAAAATTTGCATCCAGTGACTGCAGAAATGATTATTTCATGAAAAATGATCTAACCTTTCCTTCCTCTGATGTCTCTTCTTCAATCAACCTGTGATTTTTGCCGCCAACATTATCTGGTTTTATCACAGCCAAATCCTGTACAGACACTGAGGATACTACTGAGTTCTGACTTATCTGCATAGCTTCCGCTGACTTGTGATGTCCTTCGTGATGGTCAGACAAGGATCTAACATGTAGTTAATGAAAATGTATTGAAAAAAAAGTGTGCAGCAATGTTTGTGACACATAGGGGACAATAGCACAATACCATTGATTGAGTACCATTTTAAAAAACACAGCAACATGCACACAGCATGCATGTTTCACAGATAGAATGCTTACAACATTATTCTCTTTCCCCAAACCAGCAAAGTAATAATCTCTTTGTCTCAGCCAAGTAATAATCTCTTTGTCTATCTTCTGTTCTTTCTATTTTCAGCACCTTTCTGCCTCTTATGACATGCTTGTTAGGGATAGTGGGTCTATTAATTTTTCCACAAAAAATGAGAACCATAAACTATAATAGGTAACGTTATTAATTTCATGTCAGTAACCTTTACTTCTGGAAACATTACATAGTACCACCCCGTGTGGGTTCCAGGGCCCCACTGTGGGGAAAACAAGAATAGACCCACAGCCTTCCCAACTAAGTTGACCAATTGGGGCTTCCTTTGAAGTCAGAGTGCATCTGCCTGAGAGGCCAGGAACCAACAATCTGCATATAATTAAGTCAGATCTGTTAAACAGATGTGCATGCAACACTCAGGTTCTGGAACAAGACTAATGTCCAGAGGTGTACAAGCAGCCAGAACTTTCTGCCAGAGTTTACAGCCGGTGAATGAGAAGAAGAAGAAGAAGAAGATTATATTCTTTTACCCCAACCAGGGAACCAAATTCAGTTTTAAAACAATTTTTGCTGTGATGAGGATTTGACCATATGATTATCAGCTGGCTGGAAAATGGTCTAGCCACTGAACCACAACACTTGTTGGTAACATCTAAGGCTGAGCTTTTATTTGGGAATGGTCATCTTGTATTGACATCGGCATGAATGTTTGTTACATTAGATAGTGGAATTGGGAAGAATCTCTGATGACCAAGCTAGTACTACCTGGCTTTCACTATTATTCAAGTTCAACATCAGGCGGTCCATAATAGAGTATCGCTCTCATCAAGGCTTGCCTGAAAGTTTCTCTTTCTCTAGCCAATTCTCCAGCTCTATGTGGTTGCACAGCCAATCCATCTTCAATGTCCTGGATCCACATTCAGGGAGGTCTTCATCTGCCTCATTTTCTCTAAACCTATATCTCCATCATCGTTCTTTGCAGGCCACCGTGAGGTTTAACATACTCAAATCTACACAGCTAACCTTTTATTTAATGGAGGGCTGTGACAGAGGGGGAGGGAAAAAAGCAGGCATTAGGCAAAATTAAGATAAACAATATGATCTTGCCTATCCCAGTTCTATAAAAATAGCCAAAATAGCTCAGCTTTCATAACAGGATGCTATTTATGTGACAATTCTCCTCAATGCCGAGATTATTTGTCATTCAAGTTCTGAAAATTCTAAATCAAACCCCGTAAACAAACTCCCACCTGCGTCGTCTAAGCTGCTGACTTTCATCATCTGACACCACAGAAGTCACACGCTCCAAAACTTGCTCTTTCAACATTTGCACTGAAACCAATGAATGATGATTTAAACACAGTGAGTGGGAATAGTAAGCCTCACAGGGACCTCTTTAAAAAGAGGAAAAAAAAAACAAGAAATGGACCCACTACCCCTCATGAAAGATAAGTAAAAAGTTAGTTATGTATCCTTTACAGGATGTTGCAGAACCAGCCCCAGCATTTTTTGGCTGTTGTGGTTTTTCTAGGCAAATTTACATTCAGTAGTTTGCGATTGCTTTAAAAATGGGCAGCTCTTGGTACTGCTGTTGAAACCAAGGCTAGTTATTCTGCTGCCTAATCATCTGCAGCTGGGATCAAACCCGGCACCCTGGTAATACGAAGCGTGTTCGCCACGCCCAAGCCGAAGATGCTGGCAAAGATAATTAAGTATGCTGGAAATACAATGTTTATTTTAATTCCACAACTGTGCCGATCACACAAAGAATACTAAACACAGACTGAACCTCTAGCCCATTGGTTTTCAGTTACAGACTGAACCTCTAGCCCAGTAGTTCTCAGTCGCAGACTGAACCTCTAGCCCAGTAGTTCTCAGTCACAGACTTAACTCTAGCCCATTGGTTCTCAGTCACAGACTGAACCTCTAGCCCATTGGTTCTCAGTCACAGACTGAACCTCTAGCCCATTGGTTCTCAGTCACAGACTGAACCTCTAGCCCATTGGTTCTCAGTCACAGACTGAACCTCTAGCCCATTGGTTCTCAGTCACAGACTGAACCTCTAGCCCAGTAGTTCTCAGTCGCAGACTGAACCTTTAGCCCAGTAGTTCTCAGTCACAGACTGAACTCTAGCCCAGTAATTCTCAGTCACAGACTGAACTCTAGCCCAGTAATTCTCAGTCACAGACTGAACTCTAGCCCAGTGGTTCTCAGTCACAGACTAAACCTCTAGCCCAGTAATTCTCAGTCACAGACTGAACTCTAGCCCAGTGGTTCTCAGTCACAGACTGAACTCTAGCCCATTGGTTCTCAGTCACAGACTGAACCTCTAGCCCAGTAGTTCTCAGTTGCAGACTGAACCTCTAGCCCAGTGGTTCTCAGTCACAGACTGAACCTCTAGCCCAGTAGTTCTAAGTCGCAGACTGAACCTCTAGCCCAGTGGTTCTCAGTCACAGACCTAACTCTAGTCCAGTGTTTCTCAGTCACAGACCTAACTCTAGTCAAGTGGTTCTCAGTCACAGACCTAACTCTAGTCAAGTGGTTCTCAGTCACAGACTTAACTCTAGTCAAGTGGTTCTCAGTCACAGACCTAACTCTAGTCCAGTGGTTCTCAGTCACAGACCTAACTCTAGTCAAGTGGTTCTCAGTCAAAGACCTAACTCTAGTCAAGTGGTTCTCAGTCACAGACTGAACCTCTAGCCCAGTGGTTCTTAGTCACACACCTAACTCTAGTCCAGTGTTTCTCAATCACAGACCTAACTCTAGTCAAGTGGTTCTCAGTCACAGACCTAACTCTAGTCAAGTGGTTCTCAGTCACAGACTGAACCTCTAGCCCAGTAGTTTTGTCACAGACCTAACTCTAGTCAAGTGGTTCTCAGTCACAGACCTAACTCTAGTCCAGTGTTTCTCAGTCACAGACCTAACTCTAGTCAAGTGGTTCTCAGTCACAGACCTAACTCTAGTCAAGTGGTTCTCAGTCACAGGCTGAACCTCTAGCCCAGTGTTTCTCAGTCACAGACCTAACTCTAGCCCAGTGTTTCTCAGTCACAGACTCAACCTCTAGCCCAGTAGTTCACAGTCACAGACCTAACTCTAGTCCAGTAGTTCTCAATCACAGACAGAACCTCTAGCCCAGTAGTTCTCAGTCACAGACTGAACTGAGGTGTTCCCATAAAACTTACACCAAGGTCGTCACATGAAACTTACACTGAGGTGGTCAAGTGAAACTTATACTGAGGTGGTCACATGAAACTTACACTGAGGTGATCACATGAAACTTACATCAAGGTGGTCACATGAAACTTACACTGAGGTTGTCACGTGAAACTTACACTGAGGTGATCACATGAAACTTACACTGAGGTGATCACATGAAACTTACACTGAGGTGATCACATGAAACTTACACTGAGGTTGTCACATGAAACCTATACTGAGGTGGTCACATAAAACTTACATCAAGGTGGTCACGTGAAACTTACACTGAGGTGGTCACATGAAACTTACACTGAGGTGATCACATGAAACTTACACTGAGTTGTTCACATGAAACTTACCATCAAGGTGGTCATGTGAAACTTACACTGAGGTGATCGCATGAAACTTACATCAAGGTGGTCACATGAAACTTACACTGAGGTTGTCACATGAAACCTACACTGAGGTGGTCACATGAAACTTACACTGAGGTGGTCACATGAAACTCACACTGAGGTGTTTACATGAAACTTACCATCAGGATCATCTATCTCCTCATCCTCATGCTCCAGAAGATATGTTTTCACAAACTGGGCAAAGGGTCCATTGTGATTCATCAGCTGTTCATAAGTTCCTAGCTCAGTTATCTGACCTTGGTCCATGACTACGATCTGGTCCACCAGAGGGAGCCAGTGAATGCCATGGGTAACCAGAATTCTTGTCTACAAGTAGTACAATACACAAGTCAACATCAACACAAGAGTAAAAAATTGTATCTAAAAGATAGTACCAAGAGACAGTAGCAAACAATGAGTAAAGGTAAGTTGCAAATCTCTTACACTAGTCTCCTTCAATCTTTAGTTGTTTTTTTATAGTAAAGTAAAGAGTAAAGTAAAATACCCTCTTCCACAATTTAAGACGTATAGGGCTAGACCTATATTTTATAGACCAATCGGCACTTGGTGGGTGATATGGTCAACATTATGCTGGCCACCTTTACTTCCTGGGACTGCACCTGGTACCCACTCAAGGCGGGGTCGACCTGGGAGCCCAGGTCATTTTTCAAGAAAAAAAAAGCCTGGTTCAATCAGGACCTAAACTGATGACCTTCTGACCCGCAGGCGACGCTCTAGCCACCAGACCATGGCGCCTTTTTTTAATGGAGCCATTATTTTCAAAGGGCAGAAACAAAAACAAGTGTAGCTCTAAAATCAAATGTGTACCATCCCGAGAAAAGAGGTTATCTGCACCCATTGTTGTTCATGTCAATATTAAGTGATTAGGCCTCAATCTCACGCACAATGTGATTCTCATACCACCATCTCGAAACCACAAGAACAACAGTATTTTTTCTCAACAGCCAGCTGCAGAAATCAAACACTGGTATGTTAAACATTAGAATGTGAAACGATTTCACTAACCTTTAAGTCACATAGCCGCCCTCACTAAATGTAGACAGCATTTTGTGTATTAAAGCCAATTATAAAATTACAGGTTGTAGCTAATAAGTCACCTGCATCTACTCAGAAGTTGGAATATCTTGTATACTTGGCTGGAGCATCAATTCTGAGATGCCAAGTACTGTAGTACCAGCATTTTGATTTCTATGAGATAGTAGCAATAATTTAAACTTCAGCCAGTCGACAGATAATCCTCACTGCCCATCAAACTATTCAGTACATAGCTGCTCAGATCCCCACCTCAATAAACCCTGCAGCATGTAGCAGCTCACGACACCAGTTCTGTGCTGATTTCTTATTCTTCTTTGGCTTCCTGAGTGCTCTTGTCTGGCCACAGCCCTTTTAACATGCTGTTTTTGCAGTCTGGTCATGGTTGCAGATTCACAGTCATTACTTGTTTCTTGCTAATGTCTCACTTCTAGTAGAGCATTCAGTTATATAAACATTGTCCATGGCATGTCTGTCTATCATTGTAACTTTACCTGCAAGCCTATCAGCTTGCTCATTTCCTTGCACACCTGTGTGCCCTGGCATGAATATGAAACTGATATGTGTCAGCCCTGACCGCCTCAAGGACTCCAACCACTGCCTTCAGACTCAGCCCATCTCTGTCTGAGCAGACTCAATGAGTCGCAGAGGAAAACATGCAGGGATAAACATTTGTGTCTCCAGCCATGTTATTGCTTTATTCACCAACATGACCTCCATAGTCAGACTATTTGTAGTCAAGGTGAAAGCCCAAGAATCCTACAAGCTTCTCACGTCTGCCTTTTCTGTCTAGTTGGATGCAAACAGAAACAGTCATACAGCCCTTTGTTAGCACTTGTACCATTCCTTACCAGGTTTTATGCCCTCAAGAGAGCATGTCTGCTGAATAATATTCTTGGCCCCACCCATCCACAAATTTCCTCTTTTAATGTAATGTTATGTATGTAATATATGTATGCATGCATGTATGTATGTATGTATGTATGTATGTATGTATGTATGTATGTATGTATGTATGTATGTATGTATGTATGTATGTATGTATGTATGTATGTATGTATGTATGTATGTATGTATGTATGTATGTATGTATGTATGTATGTATGTATGTATGTATGTATGTATGTATGTATGTATGTAATATATGTATGCATGCATGTATGTATGTATGTATGTATGTATGTATGTATGTATGTATGTATGTATGTATGTATGTATGTATGTATGTATGTATGTATGTATGTATGTATGTATGTATGTATGTATGTATGTATGTATGTATGTATGTATGTATGTGTGTATGTATGTATGTATGTATGTATGTATATGTATGTTTGTATGTATGTATGTATGTATTTATAAATGCATGTATTTATATATGTATGTATGTGTGTGTGCATGTGTGTGTATGTGTGCATGTTCGTATGTATGTGTGTGCATGTTTGTATGTATGTGGATGTAAATGTGTATTGGGTGCCTATGTGTGTGTGTGTGAGTGAATGGGGTTTGCGTGTGTATGTGGGTGGGTGCGTTCGCACGCGAGCGTGCGCACATATTTTACCACCCATGCTTTTGTTTTTGACCTAATATTCATATTACGCATTTTATTACATGAACATAACATGCTTTATTGATGAAATACAACTGCTGTGTGAAAGATGAGAGTTTGGAAGGGCCGAATGTAAGAAGGCCTGCGTGCCTAATTTGTAACCCTTTGAAAATAAAGTTTGTTGGTTCATTCGTTCTTTCTTTTTAGTTTGATGATCTTATTTTCTACTTAATTTCATTATACAGTGGGCATTGTGTGTCTTCGTTGACTCAGATGGCTTGTGCTCAGCAAATTTGTATTCTGTCTTCCATGCTGTATCTCTAGTACACCGAAATAAATACAATCTAATATGATAATGATATACTGTAATCAACAAGATCCTGTTCAACTCCTCTGGGTTATAACTGGGATATATTTTTAATTTATTTCAGTAATGCTTATCAATTGTGTTAGGAAAGACAAAGATAATGAGAATAAATCAGGCAAATAAAGATAATGAGAATAAATCAGTCAAATAGTAATGTTGTTTCTCTTAATGGCACCCCACTCCAAGACGCCGAGTTGTACACCTATTTTGGCAGTAATGCAGATAAAGATGGGGGAACACAGAGATATTAAAATAAGAATATAAATGGCAAGAGGAGCTTTCATAGCACTAGGGAATTTGTGGAGGTCAAAAGAAATTAAAAGAAATACTAAACTTAAAATTTTTAATTCTAACGTCAAATCAGTACTTTTGTAAGGGGTGGAAACATGAACAACACCTAAGGAAATTACTAATAAATTACAGACATTCATTAACTGGTGCCTGTGCAGAATAGAGCAAATTAAATGGTATGACAGAATCACTAATGTAGAGCTTTGGGAGAAAACTAGGTAAACTCCAGTGGACCAAGAGGTGAAGAAAAGATGCTGGCGTTGGATATGACACACATTGAGAAAACCAGAGAACAATATAACTAGAATGTCTTTGCATTGGAACCCACAGGGGCATAGGAATAAAGGAAGGCCAAAAAACACATGGAGAAGGGAGCTGGAGAATGAGGTTAGAAAGACAGGGAGGACATGGGGAGAGCTGCATGTGATAGCAAAGAATAGAACAACTTGGCCTGAGTTGGCTGGGGGTCTCTGCTCCACTGGGGGCTAGAAATGCAGAAAAAGAAGAATATTTAATTCTACATGATTTGTATATTAATTGTATAAGATTGTAGATGTACAGACTGTCAAGTTGAACATATTTTTAATGTAAAAGGACCCTTTATTTTATAGACCATCAGCACTTGGTGGGTGATGTGGTCAGCATCGTGCCGATCACCTTTACTTCCCAGGATATTTTAAGTGTACTTTCAAACAATTATTCATCAGATAGTGTAGTCAGTCTTTGTGGATATTTGAAGTGATCTGAGATGCTATAATTCTGTCTGTAAGATATATTAACATCTCATATGCCAACCCCTGATCTTGTGATAAACTGTTTAATCCTTCCCCGTTGTTCTCTAGAGCTGTCCACGTCCAGCATGTATTCAATAGTCACAGGCTTATTGCACTGGATCATACATCCATTAAGGAGAGTCATATTTCTTGCTGTATAATAAATAACGTTCAGTATTTTCCCCAACATGACCTACATCACAATAAGCACATTGGGAAGATAATTGCAGAATGAGGTAGAGGAATAAGATAGAAAGGATGCGGTGAGCTGGACATAATAGTAAAAAATAGGATGATTTCGTGCAAGTTGGTTGAGTGCCTATGCTCCACTGGAGCATAAAGTGCAGAGGAAAATGGCTTACAAGCATGAAAGAGGGAAAAAATAGCAGCCTGCAAATAATATAACTAGCATGAAATATTTATTGGAGATGGTGTTTTTTATCTCACAATTTTTGTGTTGGGGTTTACAGCTAGGCTTTGATTTTGGCTCAACACATCTGATTTTTTTTTAAAACTAGTAATTAGGTGATTGTCTTTTACAACATGCTTGCTGAGAGCAGTGGCTCTGTTCTTCTTCCTCCTCCCTTTTCTCAAATGGGACCTTGGAATCTACACCGGCAAGTTAAACTAAGTTCATTGGCAATACATCATCTGCATGCACATACAATGTAAAGCACTTATGTTTTTTGCAAAACAGATTTAATGTAAAGAGAAAAGTAATGCAATATACACATTACGAACACTGATAGAAAGATCAATGGACACACAAAATGACTTTATATTTGTGCTTATAGATTACACCAAAGAATTTAACAAAGTTAAACATGAAGAGATGATAAAAATGTTGGAAGACATCTATGTAGACAGGAAAAATATCAAAATAATTAAAAACATTTACTGGAACCAAGTAGCAGCAATTAAAGTGGGAAACAGATGGGGTACTTTTGAACAGATTAAGAAAGGAGTAAGACAGGGATGCGTCTGATCCCCAGACTTTTTCTCTATATATAGTGAAATAATTTTGAGGGAAATTAAAGAAAATGGAAGTAACGGTTAGATCACTAAGTCAATAAATTGAAATATCTGGGAACATGGGAACAATCATATCATGAGATGGAAAATGTGTGACAGAGATTAAAAGCAGAATAAGTCAAGCGAAAGCTGCATGTCACAAAATGAAGAATATCTTACGAAATACATCCCTCTCATTTAATGTCAGAAAGAGTTTGCTAAAATGTTACATAGAACCTGTTCTGCTGTATGGCAGCGAATCTTGGAATGTCAGTGAACAAATTAAGAAGAATTTGGAAGCAACAGAGATGTGGTTTTTGAGACGAATGTTACGAATACCTTGGATGGCCATTGTAACTCACAACAATTGCTTGAAAGAAGCTAAAGAAAGTAGATCTCTATATATGTGTGTGTTGTCCATCAAGATGATGATGACCACTCTTTTCATCAAGTATGAGCACGAAGATGACTGATGAGGCCGATGCGGGCCCGAAAAGTTCTTGGACAGTGAGGACAGGGAATGAGCGATGTGCTAGGGAGGAGATCTCCTGCAGTCGCCTTTCTGTCCATCCTTTTAAGATCTCTATATACAACAATTGAAGAGAGACAAACACTGTTCTTTGGCAACATAATGAGAAGAGAGACACTGGAGAACATTGTGACAACTGGAAAGATCAGTGGGAAAAAAGGGTATAGGCAGACCAAGAGAGGTGATGCTGGATGGGCTCAAACAATGGCATGGAGGGATATCATCAAGAGAGCTATTCCAGGCAACCAGGGATCATGATCTGTGAAGACGCATGAGCGTCTACGCCAGTTGGCAGGGCACATGATGATATCATATTTATGGTGCTAGATACATATTTGTATAGAGCAATCTGCACTTGATGTGGTAAATATCATGCCAGCCCCCTTTACTTCCCAGGATTATTGTCTTAAATGTGAAAATAATTTTAGAAATTACTATTCAGCTTTCAAGGAAATGATAATATAAAAAGAGTTATTATGTAAAACTAGCATGAAAAAAAAGATGGAAGAGGATTTTTAAATCGAGGAAATTAATAGAGTGATACATTGCAAATTATAACGAGGGTTTAAAATTAAAAAAAAAAAACTTTTAAATGATCATTATGGCAACACAAATTAGGAACCACATCAGGAAAAACCCGACCTTTTTTCTAATCATTCCCTTTGGACCAATGACCTTCTCAAAGATGTGTTTGCCAACATGAGCATCAACAGCACTGAGAGGATCATCAAGCAGGTAGACATCAGCATCCTGGTAAACAGCCCGAGCCAGGCTAATGCGCTGTTTCTGACCTCCTGACAGGTTGATACCCTACAAATCAAACACAAGTACCAGACAATATTAGTTAGTTAGTCGACAGATTATCCTCATTGCATATCAAACCATTCCGTCCATAAGTGCACGGATCCCCTCCGTAGTAAATCCATTCCTTACCAGATAATATTTTACTTTAGAAATGCAATACTTTATTTTTGAACTGTTGGACTTATTTCCACTGTGTTTCTTCAGCCAACTCATCCAGCTTATCCATGGGATTTAGTGTCCATGTTAGCCTTCTGAAATAGTTTCATAGGAAAATGTTTTAATGGAGGTCAGTTGTGAGTACTCTAATTACAGGCGGTGCATTATAATAAAGTAATCCAAAACAACTGCATGTATGCTCTTCAACCCTCAAAGGACTATCCATGCCTAAATGGAGTGTTCTAAAGGTCATAAGTTCATTTCACAGAATGCACAGCTCAGTTCACAAAAACAATTTTAACTCTTCTTCTTCTTCTTAGCATTCAGTGGCATAAATTTCGGCAGGACTGTGGTCTTGTTCCAGGATACTGGTTTTAAACATTTTTACACTTCCTAAGAACTGTCCCTGGAGCTACAGAGTTGATGTTTTGTGTGTTGTTTTGGGCAGCCAGCTTGCCATTCTGTGGAGAGATAGACCTAGTTACACAGGGCAGGTATTTCACAGAGACTTTAATAAATGCAGGAAGCAATCTGTTCAATGTAATAGCTGTTGAAGTGGTTATTTTAGCCAAGGAACTGGCTGCACTGAGCAACAGTGAGGACAGTTCTAACCCATTTTACAACAGGAATAATCTGAATCCAAACCCTTGAACTCCCACAGAGAGAGACTGAGTACTAAGGTATGTGTCTTGAGTGCAGCATCATTAATTAGTAATTACAGTCATATTTACTGCAAAACTAACAAAATAATTCCTTCAATATGTATCCCCCCCCCCCCCCCCCCACACCCACCTTTTCTCCAATTTCTGTCATTTCACCACCTGGCAGAAGCTCTATATCAGATTCCAAGGCACAAGCTTTGATGATTTTTCTGTATCGTGACTCTTGCATTGGCTGATGAAACAGGATGTTGGATCTCAAGGTCATGTTCTGAATCCAGGCTTGCTGAGGCACATATCCTAGTGAACCCTGAAAATGATGAGCACATTTAACTCACTCAGTTCCAGCTAGTTGTTATTTTTCTTTCCTAAAGTCTTTGAACCTCCTAGCAATAATACTTGTATCATGGTGAGTTCAAATAAAAGCTATATGGCAGAAGGAGTTGAAGTAACTACTTCTTTGAGGCCATGCCATGTGACGTTGGTCGTTATGTCTATCTACAACTTTCTGTCACTTGTACTTTCAATCAATTTTGAAACAAGTGATCTTCCATGCCAGGATGTTTCCCTCTGGCTCTTTACCCTCCAGCTTTCCCACCAAACATCATGATGTACTTCAGTTTTCCTCTTCCAGTGCCATGACCAAAGAATGTAGATTGTCTGCTTTGATGTGGGCAATGAGTTCTCCTCATTGGTCAATTTCTTTAAAAACATTTATTAGGATAAAATGGATTAATGTAAAACAAGAGTGAGACAGAATAAATCACAAATGAATGCCATATATGGAGTAATCAAACAAAACATGTGGAGTCATCTGATGATAGAGGTCAAGTGTTTTTATCTCTGATTTAATAATTTTAATACAAACAGATTACAAATGTTTATGGTAATGAAGTATCTAGATTTAGTTAGTAAGTTGAAAAAAAAACAAAATAAGTTTTTTGAGTATCCTTTTGGAAATTGCAGAACCAACCCAAGCATTTTTTGGCTGTTGTGGTTTTATTAGACAAATTTACATCCAATAGTTTGCCAATGCTTTCTGGACAGTCGGCTTCTCGATACCACTGTCGAAACCAACGCAAGGCTAATTGTCAGCATCTGTGGCTTAGGCATTGTGAACGTGCTTCGTAATGCTGGGGTGCCTGGCTTGATCCCAGCTGCGGGCCTTGCGCCTTGCGTTGGTTACTCTGTCAACAGATTATCCTCACTGCACATCAAATCATTCAGTCCAAAAGTGCTAGGATCTCCTCCTCAGTAAATCCTACAGCATACAGTGGCTGAAGACACAAGTTCTGTGTTGGTATATAGATTTATGACTTTTTAACAATGATCTATTTTAAATTCCCAAACAATTCAGCAGTAATAGTGATTGGTTATTCTCTATGTAATAATATACTTTATGACATATTAGGTCAACCTCTAGTTAGCATAAATTATAAGTAAGAGGCTGAGCTTAAGAAGGCCATGGGCCAGAAAAGAAAATATGAGTTTAGTGTGATGATTGTGCAGCAGCATATGAATAACTGAGCAATGTTAGAATAATGTGTGGGAACTGAACGGATGATTAGAAAAGTAAAAGAACTGCAAATTATTCTGTTTCTGGTGCTCGAACAAGTCACTAGTGTGAGGGTGAAAGTGTGCATATTAGCAAGTTGAAACAACTCAATCAGCCTACAGCGCAGTGTATCTGATCATCTGACAGACAACAAAATAGCAGTGAATGGAATCAATGAATGAATGCTGACACTGACCTCCTGTCAGTGAAAAGAGGACATTTCCTTTGCAGATGAATATATGATGTAAGTAGTGATCCCAGTATCAATGTTTGATGACAAGTCGATGGCCTGTTTTCCAACCCTAGACATATTAGCAACAGTAGAGAGAGGACGTTGCACAATTTGGAACTGCCAAAAAAACGTTTCACTTTGAAAAGTGTGTTCTGCTTAAAGTATGTTGTCACTGTCACTGAATGAATATCAGAGTTGCCAGTTATGGCTCACAGCTAGGCTATGATATCTGTACTTTTCAGCCTAACACATCCAACTGCAGCAAATCCTTTCATGACAAACTAGTTAAGGAGGAGTTGATCTATTGTTTTGTTCCCCAAACATGGTGCTCTGGAACCCAGTCAAGAAGTATCAGCTCAATCTGGCACATCAGTTTTGACAAGTAATAACTTCATTTTCTCAAAGAAATTTGACTCCTTACTTGAATACTTCCCTGACCCTGCAGCTTCTCCATCTCTCCAAGAAGTGCAGACAACAAGGATGACTTGCCAGCTCCAACTGGACCAACTATAGCAACTAGTTTTCCTTTGGGGAAGCTGACAGTTATGCTGCAAATGTTCACATAATTACACATTCTGAGTAACCAGCAAATGTTCACATAATTACACATTCTGAGTAACCAGCAAATGTTCACATAATTACACATTCTGCGTAACCAGCAAATGTTCACATAATTACACATTCTGAGTAACCAGCAAATGTTCACATAATTACACATTCTGCATAACCAGCAAATGTTCACATAATTACACATTCTGAGCAACCAGCAAATGTTCACATAATTACACATTCTGAGTAATCAGCAAATGTTCACATAATTACACATTCTGAGTAATCAGCAAATGTTCACATAATTACACATTCTGAGTAATCAGCAAATGTTCACATAATTACACATTCTGCGTAACCAGCAAATGTTCACATAATTACACATTCTGAGTAACCAGCTAATGTTCACATAATTACACATTCTGAGTAACCAGCAAATGTTCACATAATTACACATTCTGAGTAACCAGCAAATGTTCACATAATTACACATTCTGAGTAGCCAGCAAATGTTCACATAATTACACATTCTGAGTAACCAGCTAATATATTATTACTATTATCATTATAATTATTTTGATTATTAATAACTCTTTGAGTCCCAAGGAACGCATCATACGTTGATAGGTTCCTACCTAGAAGCCCAATGAACGCATGATGCACCAACTTTACTACTTTCTTTACTACCCCATGGGCCTGTGATGCTAAACCCACTGGGACTCAAAGAGTTAACAGAGAGAAACTGGCTGTCACCAAAAAAATGATGAAGAAATTGAAAATGTCACAAACTTTTAATATCTAGGCTCTTTAAATAAATGGCAATGGAGACTGTTTGACAGAAATTAAAAGGAGGATGGCCATAACAATGCAAAGATTAAACAGCATTAAAAGTCTATGGTTAAGCACCAGCAAGCAGATCAAAATTAGAATTTTGAGAGCATGCATCTTCCCTGTAGCAACATACGGATGTGAGTCATGGACTATCTCCCAGTGCTTAAGAAAGAGAATAGGGGCTTTTGAGCTGAAATGCTATAGAAAGATTCTCAGAATATCTTAGACAAAGAAGAGGAGAAATACTGACATCTTGAAAGATCTGAACATCAAGGAAGATTGGCTAGTAAACAGCATCTTGTCTTGGAAACTGAAATATTTTGGTCATATCAAGCATCACAGTGAATTGGGAAAGACATGTAGCAAAGGGAATGGTACCAGAAAATACAGCAGGGGCTGACCCAGATATAATTGACCCATAGGGTGGGACAGTGAATGAGGTGGGAGAGCTGACAGGAGACTGAGAGTCTTGGCCATATCAAGTGTCATAGTGGATTTGGAAAGAAATGTAGCAGAGGTGACAGTACCAGGAAAGATGGGAGGGGGTGACCAGGATATAAAAGACACCTTGGGTAGGAAAGTGTATGAGGTGGGAGAGCTGGCTAGAGACAGTTTCTTTCAGGCCGGCTGTGAGAAGTGCAAGATGCTGTAAAGAACCTGCTACATGATGATGATGAATAAGGAGCTGCTTAATTATGTCCCTTTTCCCTCAGCACCTTCCTTTTGGCATCAAGCAAAAGAACAAAAGACCTGACAGACAATAAGCTTAAATTTAATATCTAAAAACAAAGAATGCACACAAATGACAGCAAGGAATTCTCTCTTTAAAAGTTGCAATACAAAAAATGTCAACAATCTTGGGATTAACAATCTCTCACTTTTTCAAGACTGGTTCCATTGTTCTATCCCATGTGTAAGTTGCATCTCTCATAATCAATGGATATTCTGAAAGTATAACAATAAATAAGCTCAACCCAGTTGATCACAAAGGATTTGTTTAGCTGACTGAAGCAGAAACCTTTACTACATTTACAGTATCACAATAGGTCATCATTATAGCTATTTAGCACGCTCACACACACACACACACACATATGCACCTCACCTGCAGGCATGTATACACGCACACACATACAGATCAGTTTTGGACATATGACTAAAATAGCAGACAGCTGAATATATTTTTTTTTTGCTTCCGGCTAGGTTTTGCTGATGCAAATTCTCTATTTCTGGACCAGAAGTCCAAATGTTACATTGCCCAGCTACTGTATTGAGTACTTAGCGCATGTTTTTGGTTTATTATGTTCTGAACGGCATGTACTTTTGCGGGCACATTACTGACCTTCATGACCAAGCATTTATGTCAACAGTGAAACCGCAGTTCTAGTGTGGGACCATCAGTGTTGGCTATTCTGACAGCTGCTGTATACATTTTTATCTTCATATGCAAGCTACATGATTTTGCTGGCACTGGTTTTCAAATGAAATCTCAACTATCTAATAACTAACTAAACTAACAGTTAGCTAGCTGACTAACTAAATTAGCTAATGAATGAACAAAGTTTAATTTGAAAGAGTCACAAATTGGTCATGCAGGTCTGTATTACATTCAGCCCTTCCAAGCACCCATCTTTCATCCAGCTGTTGTATTTTATCAATAAAACATGTTATGTTCAAATAATAATATGCATATTATATTGCGAATATAAAGGAGAAACTCAAAAGTATTTTTGATTATTTGCCTGCACACACTCGCGCACGCATACACACATACTCTCATGCACACTCCCACTCACACCCGCATGCATACCACACACATATACATGCACACGTACATACATACATACATACATACATACATACATACATACATACATACATACATACATACATACATACATACACACACACCTGCTCACATACATACACACACACATGCATGCATGCGTACATACACAAACACACCTGCATGCATACCACACACACATACATGCATACCACACACACATACATGCATATATGCACACATACATACATATGTACAAACACACATACAATGACACACTTGCATGCACACACACACATATACATGCACACACACAAACACATATACATGCACATGCACACACACACATACACACACATATACATGCACGCACACACGCATACACATCTATTTTATCTAAAGTTTATTTTTTCTACATTGTCACTTCTCACAACAGTTCTGCCTTGTAGATTTTAATAGTACCAAACATGGCTGTTTTGTGAGTGTTTTTTTTTTTTCTATTTTTCAAATGTAGTTCCAGATCTGCAAGGGTTTGTGACCAGTGTTGCCACTTTGGATGTTTTACATCCAGATTTAGATGTTTTCCCTGGCATTTAGATGTCGTTTTTGACATTTAGATGGTAGATATTTTTCTAGATGTTTTTAATTTGGAATGAATTTATAAAATTTAACCTAAGAAACAGGATAAATTTGACATCTTAAATGCTATCTTGACAATAAAATTCAGCCTGATAAGAGTAGGAAAAGGCTGTTCCACTTATCAGCTCCCTGATTAGGTATTAAAAGAAATTGGAACAGCTAAAGCATACCAGAGTCATTTTGGATCTGAAGCTTCAACTTCATCATCCAAGCTAAGTTTATCCTGTGGATCTTGTGAGGCAGACTTCAGTAAAGATGATGACATGATTCTTTAGGGTAAGTCATATCAATTGCTATGTAATTTGTGACTCTTTCCATTTGAATATTTTTTCTAGATGTTTTCCACGCAAATTTATATGTTTTTAGATATTTTTTGACTCCATTTTGGATGTTTTTTGTCAAAGTAAAGTGGCAACACTGATCCCAACCCCAGTTCAACAACCTGAAAGGCTTTAATCTGGGATGGCCAGGCCCTTTACTATACATTAAAAAACTTGCCTGTACTATTTGCAAAGTGTCTTCAATAGGTGCCGGTACTCACCACAGTGTCTATAACAGTATAGTGCTGGAAAAGGCAGGGCTAATTAATTTTTAAAAATATTTATTTAAAAAAAAGAGTGCCAGTTCTGTGTACTGTTGCATACTGTCAGAAAAAGAAAAAAGCCATAGAGATGACTACTGCTTTGTTCCCTTCTGAGTTTTTTTAAGAGAACATGAGGGAAGTAACCATATTATGGTATTTTAGTTTATGAAGAAATCTCTGTTTCAATAATGTAGCTGAAAATAAAATATAAAAGGCATTGCTTTTGTTAACTCTTCAAAAAAAAAAAGCCATACAATCGTATACACTTATCTTTTTTACCTTCTGAGCTTACTTCAGAGTCAGTTTCCTCAAGATCCTCTCCAGACAAATACTTTCTCAGCCTCACCATGGACACATGGCACTGAAAATAAAGTAAAGAGGCCACTGTGGATATAGTTAACAAGACCTTGCAGACATAGTCAATAGGACATTGCAGATATAGTTAACAGGACATTGCAGATATAGTTAACAGGACACTGTATTGTTAACAGGACACTGTAGATATATTACAGCTTAAGAAAGCGGTCACTGCAGCTTTCCACTGGCCGGAGAACACGACACACACACACACATCATAATTGTAACTGACTCAGAAAGCGTGCTGAGGACCATCAGGACAAGCATGCTTCATGCAGAGTGGCATGCTTCACTGCGGAGGACATTGTTGAGGAGTATTGTATGGATTTTTTCCACAGGAACGCCAGTGTGTTTGGAAATGAACAGGCAGACAGACTGTCTGGCTCTGCAAAGCTTGGTGGAATACTGATGCATGATAAATCAGATGTGGTTAGTGCCTTGTGGGAAAGCCTGTACAGTTCAGAGCAGATGGATCACCAGTCCGGTGAGATTGATGCAGGGGGAAGTGACAAGAGGTTCTGGCAGATGCTCGAGGCTCAGAGGAAAGGCAAGACTGACATTTAATCAGAATGCTGCTAGCACCATTAGTATCTGAACTCTTCATTGGCTACTAAGGATGGGGACAGAGAGCTTATGGGAATGCCCTGAGTCCTGTGATGTCAGTTCTTGAATCAACTCAACTCAACTGTAGATATAGTAAACAGGACACTGTAGATATAGTTAACAGGATATATATATTTAACATCGTACTGTAGCTATGCCAAAGTGGCTTCAAATGAAAACGTTAAAAAAGGTAATAGAAATTACCAATAATCATGCCTTAACAACAATTCTAAAAAGTTGCAAGACAATGGCATAAGTAAAGTAAAGGACTGCAAGACTATGGCATAAATAAAGTAAAGGACTTTTTTCCACGACTTAAGGCATATAGGGCTAGACCTATATGTTATAGCCCAATTTTTACTTGGTGGGTGATGTGGTCAACATCATATTGGCTACCTTTAATTTACAGGACTTTCCCTGGTACCCATTAAATATTGGGTCGACTTGGGAGCCAAGGTCATTTTTGAAACAAGTCAGCTCCATCAAGACCTGAACCCATGACCTTCAGATCTGCAGACTAGCAACTAGCTGCTACACCACAAAGGCTACCAATACAATGACTCATATATGGTAATTTCTATCAAACCATACAATCATACGCCCTTATCATTTTTACCTTCTGAACTACTTCAGAGACAGTTTCCTGAAGATATTTGGAAGGGCCGAATGTAGGATGGGCCTGTGTGCCCTAATTTGTGACTCATTGAAAAAAAAAGGTCATTCGTTTGTTCTATCACACTTTTAATGTTATAATTTGAAGCCGCCTCGTAGTTAACATGACATGGAAGATATACATTTAACAAGTCACTGTAAATATAGATAACATGTCACTAAATACAGTTTACATTTGATTCTTGATTTAATATTGAAATTTAAATGCCAGTTATTTCCCAGACAGGAAGTGAGTCTCTGTGCTACCAGTTAAATGTGTGATCTGGATTCTCCTGCCTTCATGTTTAGTTGCATATTTATTTGATGTTTCTCTGAACACATGTGTCCAAATAATGGAGAAGTACTGCATATAAATAAGAAAAAGCAAAAAAAAAAAAAAAAAAAGGCAGTCACCAACAAAGAACTAAGAACAATGGTAGGCACAGTACCCATATATGATCTGACAGAGCATCAAAGAAGGAAATGGTATGGTCATCTGGTTAAAAAGGATGAATAAAATGAGCCAGCAGCTAGAGTGTTCTACATCAGAACAGTAGGCTACAAGACAAGAGGCCAACCAAGAAAGAGATGGGTGGAGGGAGTAAACCAGACACTACAGAAATGTAGTATGACATTAATACAAGCTCCATAACAAGCAAAAGATAGGAAACTATATCTAACAGCTCTCTGTGACACTTCATGGCATTAGCAGTAGGATACAAGAGGAAAGAAGAAAATGTATTTTATCTTATATTTGCATATGAAGGTATAATAGTTTGAAGAAAACAGTAATGGAGGGAATGGTTCCTGGAAGATAAATCAAAAAATGACCAAAACAACACGAGCCCAGAATGACAGGGATACCCTTAGCATTGAAGTTCTCAAAGGCAGGGAAACTAGTACGGGACTGAGTGGTTGTCTGTATTCTGTGATGAGAGCTTTCTTCTGTAAAGGACCTGCAGCATGATGATGATATACGTACATAAGGCATGCTTAAGAATATGCTTAAATGTAACTTCAAACTAAGCATATTCTTACCTTTTCAAGTTTCCATAAGATTTTGTAAAAAAATATTATTGTTTTGATAAAATATGCTCTCAGGGTCCATCGAAAGAGAGGAAGAATAATGAACCCACCCCAATTGATACCAACGGTAACAACCTCGCTAGACCCCAGACTGAGATTTCTGCCCAACGTCCGGGTTGGCAATGTACATGTGGAAATAGCTTCATGGGGTTGCATGGTCTGAGAACGCATGCCAGAAGAATGAAATGCGAGGGTGAGCCACGCAGTAAGCGGCGGCACATAGCTAATCCTGTAGTTAATGAGTCATCAGGGAACGACAGGCAGGGTGAACCCCACTCCCCCACTTTTGCTGATTTCAGATGAAGTGCGTTCGAGAATCAAGTTTCCACCTGCAAGCGATAGGGTGTCATGGTGCAAGCTGGAGGGTATACTTTGTGAGAAAATTAGTGGTTAATTTAAGTAAAAGTCGCTAAGTGACAAGCTAACACCGTTTGGTGACATAATATACAATCACTGTTCCCGAGAGTTCGGGACAGTGGAGAAGACGCAGCCGGGCGTCACGCATGGAAAAAGCAGAAGGCAGAGGGACATTAAAAAGTGCCAAACAGACAAGAATGCACTCAGAAAATGGTTCAAAGCCGCTACATGCAGCGAGCTGGAGGTACTGTACGAGGTCTGGTTGTACCTGAAGAGCAGACATAGTACCCTCTGTCTTGCTGAGAATTTCTGTATCAACAGAAGGAGAACCAAAAGGGAGTGAGTGAAGTTCTTTAGGGACCCGTTCCAGTTTGCCCGAGGTCTGTTCGAGCAACCAAAGTCCGGTACTCTGGTGGTCGGTAAAGAGGAGCTGGAGTCTCATATACTAAAGATGTACTCCGATTGGACAAGGAATGAGCCTCTCAATGACAACTCAGAGATCACCAGTGGAATGAAGTGCCCTGAGTTGCCGAAGGTACCATTCAAAATGATCCCTCTCTCTTGGTCAGAAGTCAAAGAGGTCGTGAAAAGGGTTAGAGGCAAATCTGCCACAGGGAAATACAGTGTACAATACTTTGTGTACAAACGCTGTCCTCCAAATACTTCACCCCTTGCTAAGATCAGAGTGGAGCCAAAAGCACAAATATACTCAGTGGCAGAGAGCTAATGGGGTCTACATTCCCAAGGAGCCAGACTCCTCCAATATGTCCCAATTCAGACCTATCTTGCTGTTGAATGTTGAGGGCACGATATTCTTCTTGGTTATGGCTCACAGGCTCACAAAGTATTTGATAGCGAACAAATACATCGATACCATTGTTCAGAAAGGTTGAATCTTGGGTGACTTGAACACACGACCATGATCTGGGAGTCTGTTCAGAGAGCTAAGGCAGAGAGAACCCAATTGCACGTGATATGGTTGGACCTGGCCAATGCCTATGGGGCAGTACTCCATAAGCTGTTGTGGCAGGCACTTTGCATGTTCCAAGTACCGTCACATTACCGAAATGATCAAGCAAAATTTTTCAAAGTTCGCCATACGCTTCTCTATCACTACATTAACTACAAGATGGACTGAGCTCCAGGTTGGGATAGCAATGGGATGTAAGATCTCGCTGATACTGTTCGTTATGGCCATGCAGGTCATGTTAGATGGGGCTGCCTGCTATGGGCAAGGCCTTCAGACTGGGGACCACTGGATGCCACCACTGTGTGCATTTACGGATGACACAACTATCATAATGGGCCTCTGAGGATGATGCCGCACGACTCTGAAAAGGCTGGACATTGTTGTCCAATGGTGTAGAATGCAGTTCAAACTACAGAAATCAAGAAGTTTGCATTAAAATTGAAAGAAGTCATGGGGTACACACAAACCGACCAACGTGGCCTAGGGCACGGGAAAGTCAGTTGGTGGTCCAAAGCCACAGCCAAAGAGCACCGAGACATGGGAATACAGCACATAAGGGACATCGAAAATAAGACTCAGGTCCAAAAAGCAAGCCCAGCAGTCACAGCAAGGCCAGTGGATCGCCCTCGAAAGCGCCTTGTCACGAGTGCTCGCATGGGGCGAGATCTGGCAAATGGCCCCACTGCAACTGAGCTTTGTCGTAAGAATTGCGTACGATGTGTTACCCTCTGGCGTCAACATGGTAAAATGGCATGCGACTACTGACCTGACATGCCCACTTTGCAGAGCTAAGCAGACGCTTGAGCATGTATTGTCCACATACAGAAAAGCCCTAGGCTAGGGAAGATACACTTGGCACCACAATAAAGTCCTAAAACGTTAGCGGACATTGTGGACCAAGCCAGGATGAGGGCCAATGTGAGGTCCAATCCTACCCTCACCTCCATGCGCTTCTCCAAGGCTAGGCAGATTTATAAAGGTAAAAATCAACAAGGTTGCATACTCTTCATCGATACTTGACTGTGCGAGGAACTGGTTACTGGCTGTCAACCTGCCTGGTTTTGAGTTATACCCAGAGTTTATCTGGAAGACCGGCCTGAGACCTGACAAGTCCTACACTTTACGGAAAAATGCCAGCTCATCCTGACTGAGCTGACTGTGCCGTATAATCACATGTATAAACTTGAGAAGTACTGTGGCCAGTCTGAGGAGAGATGATGCGTACTCAGTAAAAATTGTTGCCGCCAAGGTAGGCGCAAGAGGTCTTATCTCCTCTTGCATGTACAATGTGCTACAGCAGCTAGGCTTGTGAGGAAATGAGCATAAACGGCCACTAAAACAACTGGGTGAAGCGGCTGAAAGAGCTTCGAGCTGGCTCTGGACACAATGGAACGTCATGGGGATGGGCCTCGGTAGACTGGTTCGAATCCATGGAGGGACGGAGCTTCTTATCCCTTAAAGCCAAAGTGTCCGACTGATGTTTGCCAGTGTCCCTCTGCCAGTTGCCAAAGTCTAACATGTGTCCGATGAACCAACCGTAAGCTTGTCACATGATTGTTAAGGTAGCCAGCTGGTCTAATTGGCTACCACAGCGACAATACATATATTTAACTTTGAATCTCACAGTACCCTTGCATAGTCACCATTTCGTCTTATCCCTGTCTGAGAGCATTCGGTAAAGTGCAGCAGGAGAAGATCGAGGCCTGGGGGTCATGACCCAGGTCAGCTCACCCTCAGTATATATACACACATAATATCCTTCATCTGCCTTCTATCGCCTAAATGACTAGAGGGTCTGGATGACTGTCAACAAGAAAGTAAAAAGATAGGCAGACTGTTAGTTGGGTTGCAACTGGGACCATCAGTTTACGATCTACATGCTCTCTACATGCAGTACAGAGATCCTAGGGTTTGGCCAGTTGGCATTCCAATGGAAACCAATCTAGACCAAACAGTAGAAGCTGTGTGTTACACCACAGACTTCAGAGAGGCTTGTGGCCTTCTCTTCTGAAAACCCCTGGCAGAGAGGGTAAAAAGAAGAAGTAGTGTAGGATCTCTTCTATAACTACAAAGGATGGAGACTGAGCCTGTGTGGGAATGTCCCAAGTGTAGTGATGCCAATTTATGTATTCACTTATGAATTTATTTTAAGCTGAAGACATCTGCATAATAGGTTAGTTGTAAATTTCTTTACCTGAATCACCTGTGAGATAAACATTGGTAGCATATGCATTGGCTGCCTGATGGTGTTAAACAAATTCATAGCCACAAAAGCCTTATTGGGTGTCAGAGATTCCTGAGTTATCAGTACATAAGCAATGAAAGTAACTAGTGTCACCTGAAATATAAGAAACACAAGCATTAGTTGATGTTATGGTCAAACATACAGTATTTGTGTCATGAAGAGTTATCCATCCCTGAGAGAAGTAGGATAAACATTCAGTATTTGTGTCATGAAAAATTATCCACTTCTCACAGAAGTAGGTCAAACATATAGTATTTGTGGCATGAAAAGTTATTCATCCCAGAGATAGGTAGGTCAAACATACAGTATTTGTGTCATGAAAAGTTATCTATCCCTGAGAGAAGTAGGTCAAACATACAGTATTTGTGTCATGAAAAATTATCTATCCTTGAGAGAAGTAGGTCAAACATACAGTATTTGTGTCATGAAAAAATATCCCTCCCAGAGAGAAGTAGGTCCAACATACAGTATTTGTGTCATGAAAAGTTATCCATTCCAGAGAGAAATAGGTCAAACATGCAATATTTGTGTCATGAAAAGTTATCCATCCCTGAGAGAAGTATGTCCCACATTCAGTATTTGTATCATGAAAAGTTATCCATCCCTGAGGAGAAGTAGGTCAAACATACAGTATTTGTGCCATGAAAAATTATCCACCACTCAGAGAAGTAGGTCAAACATATAGTATGTGTGTCATGAAAAGTTATCCCTCCCTGAGAGAAATAGTCAAACATACAGTATCTGTGTCATGAAAAATTATCCATCCTAGAAAGAAGTAGGTCAAACATACAGTATTTGTGTCATGAAAAGTTATCCATCCCTGAGAGAAGTAGGTCAAACATATAGTATTTGTGTCATGAAAAGTTATCTATACCTGAAAGAAGTAGAACTAGTCAACTTCAGAAACCACAATCATGAATGACAAAATGAACACTGACTAGAAAACCTTCATATGCATCTGATACAAACAGACAGTGATACATTTGAAAACAAAAATACATAAAAATCCCATATTTATTAGCTTTTATTTTAAGGTAAGGTCTGTCACAGTGTCCATAACTTGCTTGAATAATTTTTTTTTTTAAAATATGCATACAGATGTGGTTACAGAATAAAAATGCTGGACAGGATAGGACCAACAGACGTAGGATTGGTACCCCCCCCCCCCCCTCCCACCTAAAAAAGAAATTAAATTTTGTTACTTTCTGTTAACCCTTCATATGCCTACCAATCCTACTTCTGTATATTTTTTTAACTCTGAAAGTAAGTAAGATTTTCCCTAATTTGATACAGGATTATTTTCCACTGAAAGAAAATGTACAGACCAGATTGGTAGGCATGTGAAGGGTTTACAGAAAGGGATATTCTTTAAATTTTGTTTTGTGAAATAAACTGTATTGGACACAGAGACCCTTGGAAAGAAGAGAACCCAATAGGCAGATAAGAAGATTCTTAAGAAAATTGTGGGCTCTTTCTAGTACATTATTTGTGTTTTCTTATGGTTATTATGCCCCGCTGGAGCATAAGCTGTCAACCACCTAATGCAAAACGTATCTTCTGCTATGTCTTGCAGTTCCCTCCATAACTTGCCAGTGTTATTTATCACCATCTTTATTTCTATTATCCATGTGTCTTCCTCTTTTTTCTTTTGCCTTGTAGGTTTCTAGTTGAAGTTACATTTTAGTTATAACAATTTCACGTTTTCTGAATATGTATCCTATTCATTATCATTCCCACACCTTCTGATTTGCTGGAATTTTTTTTATTCCCTCCCTCAGCTACACATTCGTTATTACACCATTTACTTTCTTCAGTTGTGCACAGGCACCAATTAATGAATCTCTCTATATCCTCTTCATGTCGCTGTTGACACATAAGGCATTTACAAGTGATCTCTATTGCTGCCGGTCTGCTGCTTTTCTGCCCATGGTATCTCATGTCAGTTTACCTTCCTTAATTTCCCATTCTATTGTTCTTCTCCAGGTTTCCTTAGGTCATCCACGTCTCCTTTTCCTATCTGCTGTCCACCGGAGAGCTGTTTTTGCCAGAGTGTCACGAGGCATTCTGTAAACATGTCCAAGCTGTCTCTATCGTCTTACTTTGAAAACATTTGCCAGTGATGCACATTCTGTTTTCCTTCTCAGTTCTTCATTTGTGATCTTGTTTAGCTAAAATATTTGTAGAATTCTTCTTAAACATTTATTTTGAAAAGTCTCAAGTTTATGTGTAATTCCCACTGTCAGTTTCCAACATTCACTGTTGTATAATAGTATTCCTAAAATGTTGCTTTTGTATATTCTGAGTTTTGTCTTCAAACTAAATCCCTTTGATTTCCATACATTGTTAAGCATGGCAAATGCTTGATTTGCTCTGTTTATTCTTGATGTTACATTCTTTTCAGAATCTCCATCTGGAGTAACTTTACTTCCGAGGTATATAAATTCTTCAACTTCCTCTATTGCTTTATCATTTAAGATAATTGGATTTTCTGTTTTGAAATTATTTCTCATTACTTTAGTTTTACTGGTGTTTATTTTGAGTCCTATCTTAAGGGCTGTTGTTGAAAATCTTTCAATCTTTTCCTGAGCGTCCACATGACGGCTTGATGACATCTGCATAGACTAAATCTTCTAAAACATGGGTGAGTGACCACCTGATGTCTCTTTTTCTATCTCGTGTAACTTCCTTCGTCAGCCAGTCAGTGGCCAAATTGAACAAAAAGGGGGATAGTATTCATCCCTGTCTGTCTCCTGTGTTTGCAAAAAAACTTTTTGTTGCATAATTATCACAAACTAATTTACTATTTTCTGTGGTACACCACAGTGACGCAAAATCTTCCATAGTGATTCCCTAAGCAGGCTATCAAAGGCTTTTTCAAAATTCACAAAGGTCATATAAACTGCGCTATTCCATTTGTTACTTTGTTCAATTATTTGATGCAGCGTGAAAATGTGAACAATACATGATTTCCTCTTTCTGAATCCTGCTTGCTCTTGCCTTATTATACTATCAAGTGCTTGAGTCATTCTTTTAAGAATTATCCAGCTGAAAATTTTACTAGTTACTGATAGTAATGTGATACCTCTCCAGTTGTTATAGTTTTTTAAATCTCCTTTCTTTGGTAATTTAATAATAGTACCCTTTTTCCACTCCTGTGGGATTTCTTCATTAGTCCAAATTTCTTGAAAATTCTAACATTAATAGTTTTGGCATTTCAATTTCCTCCACTTTCAGCATTTCTGGGCAGATTCCATCACACCCAGGTGCTCTGTCTGAGTTTTAACTGCCTCCCTAACCTCTGCCTCTAAGAAAAGCTCTAGGCTCATCTGTAGGTCTTCCTGTGCCTCAGGTATATCAGCAAGTACAGGTGGGTCTGGACAATATAGTAATTCCTGGAAGTGTTCTTTCCCCCTTTTTAATTTTTCTTTTTCAGATGTAATCGTTTTCACACTCTTTGTTTTTAGAGGCAAAGTTTGATGCAATACCACATTTCCTTTCAGTTTCTTAGTTATGTTGTACGTTTTGATGTCCTGCTTATTTGCTGCTTCCTCTGCTTCTGTTTCTAGTTTTCCAGTATATGAAAGTTTATTTACTTTTGCTCCTGCTTTAACCTTGTTGTTCCTTAGTGCATATTGTTTAGAAAATTGTCCTTTCAATCTGGCTGATTTTACATCTAATATTTGTCTTTTAATATCTTTCTGTTGTGCTATTTTCTCCCACGTCAATTGGGAAATCCATTCCTCTTTCTTTGACTGCCTATATCCTAATATTTTCTCCACTGCTAATTTGACTGTTTCATTTAATTTATCGATTACCATTTCTGTTTCTTCTTGTAAAAGGCTGAATCTGTTTTTGAGTTCTATCTTAAACTGCTGTTTGATATTGTGTCCTGCAGTTTTCCTACATCATATCGCTGCGGTTTTGTTCTCCTATTTTAGCTATCCTTAGTTTTAACCTAATTTTTCCAATAAGTAAATGATGGTCACTCCCGATATCCACTGATCTACATACTTTGACGTCTTGCACGGAATGCCTCCATTTTCCATTTATAAGAATATGGACAATTTGGTTTGCCATGTGCCCATCTGAAGATCTCAATGTGACCCTATGAATTGTTTTATGAGGGAAGAGTGCTCCTCCAATTATTAGGTTACTAGATTGGCTGAGTCACATAATCTATCTCCGCTGTTGGTCATTTTCCCTGTTCCATGTTTTCCCATTGTTCTCTTCCTCCCTGCATTGTCCTTTCCTTCCTGAGCATTAAAGTCTCCCAGGATTAATAATAATACATCATGCTTTGGGATGTCTTCTACTACTGTTTGCAGACTGTCGTAAAAGCTGTCTTTTGCTTTCTCTTCTGCATCCTCTGTTGGTGCATAACAGACCAAGACAGATAATTCTGCAAGTCTAGAATTAAATCTTGTATACAAAAGTCATTCACTTGCAGGCGTCCATTCTATAAGAGTGTTGGGCCCCTTTTTAATTATTAATGCGACTCCTTCAGTCTGTTGTTCATCAGCTCTACCTGACCAGATTATGCTGTCATTTGTATTGAGGTTTCTTTTTCCTGTCCCTGTCCAACGTGCTCCTGTAATTGCTAAAATATGTACATTGTGTAGGTGCATCTCATGAAGAACTTGTTCCACTTTTCCAGTTTTTTGCACATTCCAACATTTAACACTTAGGGTGTTTTTGGTAGAAAGAAGATTCACTGTCTGGCTGTTGACTTTCTTTTGGCTTTGATCCCTCGTCGTCATTTCACCAAATATCTGGCAAGCTTCACTTCTTTCCACTGGTTTAATGATTTCACTTGATCCTGTTTCCGTAACAAAGTATTTTTTTTTATGGTAATGGGTTGTCAACCCTTTGCCCAACTCCCAACCTGGAGGGCCAGGGTGCTGTTCGGCATGGTTAAAACTGCCAGGGGAACAAGTCCCCTGCCGACATAGCTCTGAGAGTCATTAGAGTAATCAAGCCATCCCACACGACAAGGCACCAGCACCATGGCATGGCAATTAATGAATACATGTGGTTTATTAGTAAGTGTTTTAGTCTTTGTCATGTTTCTGATTCATACACCAGTACCGATTTAA